GTATATATATATATATATATATATATATATATATATATATATATAAAAGGTAAATATATATATATAGATTATATATATATATATATATGTATAAAATTAATCTGTTTATTTATTTAAATATTTATTCGCAGTATATATATATATATATATATATATATACTGAGAATATATTTACTACTACTTTCTACTGCGGAAAATATACCATGTGAAACCTGGACACCTCGTCTCCTCGCCCTGAATTTCCTTCTTTTGCAAGCCTTCGCGAGTTAACAGCCGGTATTATCTCGCGTCTTATCGTTAATTGACGGTATGAGAGGTTGATTGGGAATAGTTACGCCGACGAGTGTCGAATCCCGCAATTCGTTGTGTCGCCTCTTCACATTGGCATCCATATGACTAATTGCACGCATTCGTATAATTTAACACGTTTAATTAAGAGATCAGTGGATGCATTCTTATTATGGACAAATGTACAACAAGTCACGCTGTCACGTGCTCATTAATCTCCGATATTAATAGCGTTCAACAGCATTAATTTCGCGTGGACAATACTGGCGTGCGGTATCAGCGACGCGCTAAACTCTGCCTTTTACACGTTATCGCGTTCTCGCGTTTAATACTCCCCCCGCCTACCCACAATCCTCCCCCTGTCTGGCGGTTCAAAATGGACGACAAACAAATAATGCATAACGTATATTTTACACCCCTTCCCACTCGGCGCTTTCGTGTTTTTCCGTAAAAACTTGAGCGGAATATTCCCCGCTGTTTCCCTCCGCGCGTTGTTTTCAGCGTGTGCGCGCGCGCGCGCGGCGTCGCGACGCGGAGAAAATATGGCCCGAAGTGGCTTAACGTGTACTTCCACTCATAGAAATTACGCACGTAACGTTAACGTAATAGTTACGTCTCGCGCGAGTAATTAACGTCACGATGTTGAGCGATGGTCGCGGGGATGCGAAGCGCGATCGCGATCCCCGCTGCGGATCTCACGTGGGCAGAAATGTCGCGGCATTTGTCCGCTGCACAAATCGAATGAGCAGGATTGTATGTAATCGCGTTCGTACAATCAAAGTTCCACTTCGCGCTCACAAAGCGCAATCAAACGAGCACCCGGCGTTACGCAACCGCGACATCGGTGTGCGTGAGTCATACGATCATTCAATATCGACGTTATACAGTCGCACACAGAGTCGCGGCTTGCTGCTTGGGGTTTATTCCCGAGGCGTGAAGCTCTTGGTGTTCAACAAACCGCGAGAGAGAGAGAGAGAGAGAAAGAGAGAGAGAGTGAGTGAGTGAGTGTGTATTGGCTTGCAGGTCGACGCTAATCAAAGTTGTGTGTGCTTGCACAATGCTCGACAACCACTTAGCCGTTCTGCGCGGCCGGCAATCCACTAACTTCGCGGATTATCGATTGTCACGCGATCTTACCATGTAGTGCAGCAGTCGACAGGAATTGAACTTGCTCTGGCAGGCTTTCGGCTTGCAGCGCGACGCAGTTAAGTATCTCGGATAATGTCCCTCGCCGAGATCCCTGACCTCGTACTGCGTCTCGCAGGTGCACAGAGACTGCGAACAGACCCTTGTCGTCGTCGTCATCGTCGAATGATCATCGCGCGCGGTTGTCTGCGCGCGTTAATCCGCGCAAATCGCATGCGAGAGAGCGAAGTCGCGCGAATGAGATCCGACGTCTCTCATCCGGCGAGACGAGTGTCATTTCTTACGTGACGAACGATGACTCGCGAGAGATCCGCCGCCATGACAAAGAGAGTCTCTCACAGTGACGGGGTTAATTAATTAGTTAATTAATTAATTGAATAATTCGCTGAACAGCCGCGAGCGACATTGAGATTAAGCGCGAGCGCGACTTATGTGCGACAAACTCTTGCAGCACAGGATCTTCAAAATTCGGTTTTTAATCAAGTATTCATGTCACATGTCTGGATAATCTAAGAGATTATTCCTTTTGAAATTAATTTTTTCTACTTTCCTATTTTTACAGAACAGGAGTGGTTTCAACCGTGCAACAAAATATTTCCATACACAGGCTGAACGGAGGATTCGCTGTGACATCATTATGCACTGTAAAAAATTTGTGAAAAATTACATCTATTATCTATTATAGTGAAAAATTACATCTATTATCTATTATAATGTAGTAATTTTGAAACCAACTATTATAGTTGTAAATTTACACACTTTTACAATATGATAATTATCGCATGAGAATATATTTATATAGACGAAAGACACATTTTGATACGTGTGTAAATTTACAACTATAATAATTGGCCTCATACTTACATATAATTTTACACAAATTTTTTAAAGTGTATCTGAAGCTACGATTCGGTTCTAATAGGTGATTTCATTGTGCTTCGAAGGGCAGCGGATTTTTCACGTATCAAAACCTCGCGCCGCACCGGTAAAATTTCGCGAACGCGATGCTTCTCGCGCGGCTTCCGATTCGCGCGAAGTGATTTGCGGAAAAAGGTGAAATAAACAAATATAATGCGTAAAGCAGATTTCGTCCCACGCACGCATTATTTATGGAGTTCGCGTCGCGTTTAGTCGCGAATCGTGGTCATCGCCCATTCCACCAACGCAATTTTCGCGCGCAGTCAGTGCGCGTTAAAAAAAAAAATGCTATTACATGCACCACCGCGATTGCTATTTCGTGAAAATCGGGCCGTCCTTTCGGCGCTGATATTCGCTCGGCGAGTCCGCGATCGCGCTCGCTCGCTCGCTCGCGAAAGCCCCCTTCACGGTTTAATGTTTAATCCGTAGAAAATAATTTGCACACATCTCTGATAAGGTTAAAACGCGCGGAGAGCGCCGATACGGAAGTACAACGAGAAGTCGGCCACGTTCATTTCGTGGAGAGCCCTTTTATCGCCTCTATCGCGAGCGCTTCGCGTCGATAAGCGCGTCGTTTTATTCGCGAGAACGAGAGAGTAGAACTTTAACTGGCCACAGTTATGCAAAAACGATGCAGTCCACAAAATTGTAATTTTCTGCGTACTAATGGCTAGTCCGTACGTATTTTCACGCAAAATGGAAAATATCCAAAAACGTGTGAACGCTTAAAGTTAACTGAAAAACTGTTTTCATTTACTGCTGGTTGCATCTTTTTCACCTGCTGTTTTAGTGGTCCCGACTCCAAATTTGTCAACGAAAATCCTGGAAGAGAAGAATACTGACCATGCTTGACTCTTTGAACGATTGCGAATCGTTCTTTAGCGTTATCTACACTGAGAGAAAAATATAGTTGTTTTCGACGTTAACTATATTTTCTTGTGATTTCTTACGAACCAGAAAAATAATTAAAAGAACCATTTTCCTAATAATACTTACTAAAACAATGATTCTTCTAACTATTTTTGTGGTTAAAATCACAAAAGGGTATGATTGACGCGAAAAGCAACTATATTTTTCTCTCAGTGTATACACTGAGAGAAAAATATAGTTGGAATAACTATAATCTCACTATATTTTATAGTTCGTTTTGGCCTCAAACATATATTTATAATTCATCTAAACGGGAAGATATAGTAGAATGAACACACATTTATAGTCACCATCTTATTACTCTATGTGTATAGTAAAGCACGCTTTCGGAATATAGTTACATGTACCCATATTTTCCAAATATTCCAATTGTATTGACTATATAAAATAGTTAATTTCTCTTACCATTTAATATTTGCTACATACTATGTTTTTTATTTCAAATAATTATAATTCTTGGTAAAAGTTTTATATAAGTCAATTATACTTATATTATAAATATTACAAACATTATGATGACATTTATTTTTTTTTAAAAGATATTCCTAACTATAATCCTTTTACTATGCCATTATAGTTCCAAATATCATACATTTTTCTCTCAGTGTATACTTTCTGGATATAGTATTAGATTTTCCTCTTTAGTTTTCTCGAAACGTATTCCGTATGGATCGTTCTTGCGAGAAACTACAGCATAATTCTCGATACGTTTAGTCCTTCGCGATTTTCCCGTCCATGAGGGAGTTCATCGTCTCGGTAGTCGCAGAACTAATCCGAACGTATTAGAATTTAGCGAGACAGCGGGACGCTGAACGACGCCATTCTTTTTGCGCGGCGAAAAACGCGGCGCAAGATAAGAAAAGCCCGGTGGGAAAACCCCACGAATTATGCAAACGTACTCTCGTTACGAGACGCGGCTGCAGGCCGACGTCCTCCGCGCCGGCGATCCGTTTAACCTGCTCGGTGAGTCCCTCGGAACGGTAGCTGCGCTTCTCCCCGTACACGGAATTCCGGTTGCCCCCGGGGATCTCGTCGTGCTCGTCGCCGAGCAGGAAGTCCGGCGCGACGTCTTGCTCCTTCCAACGACCGATCGACAGCACCTGCCCGGGCTCCTCCGCCACCAGACCGTGCACCAGCACCTGATCCCGCGCGTTTTGCAGACATTTCGTAATTAGGACACGAAAAAAAAAGATCTGCTACATGTGGACAACTAAACATAATTTGCTGTATTAGCCGCTTTTTCTTTGCTGTAATTTCCTTACTGTGATAACAAGAAAATCTGCTACTGCAACAAAAAAAAAATAGCTAAAGTAAATTATGTTTAGTTGTCCACAGTGTAAAGTATCTAGATACGTTTATTTAATTATAGTAAATACATTTAGCTAATCACAGTAAATACATTTATCTAATTACAATATTTAGATACTTTTTTGTGTATATTTATCTGTAACTAATTAGATTTTTTATTTCAGTAACTGTAACTAATTTTATTTTACCTTGTGTGTGTATCTAAGTTTAACACTTTAGATACACACGCAAAAAAAATTTTAGTTGATACAAAATAAGAACCAACTGAAAATTAGATGATCAGAAGCGATATCTCTGTTATGAAAACTAATATTTCTGTTGTCGCAACCGAAAATATTCGTCTGAACATTCAACGATATTAGAACTCGGTTGAGGCAACTGAGAACAATTGACTATACAGAAGTCTCAGAAAGGAATTTTTCTGTTCCTACAGTCGAGTTTTCGTTTGATCCCTGAGCAACCGAATTTTCGGTTGCACCAACAGAATTTTTTTTTTCCGTGCAGATACAAGATAACATGAAATTAGTTACAGATACAGTTACTGAATTGAGAAATCTAAAGCTAGTTACAGATAAAGATACACAAAAAGTATCTAGATATTGTAATTAAATAAATGTATCTACTGTAATTAGATAAATATATCTATTGTAATTAATAAATTTATCTAGATACATTACAACACTGGTTGTCCTTCTGTAACAAATTTGCTACGTTAACCACTTTTATTGATGTAGGAGCAGATTTTCTTGTTATCATAGCAAGAAAATAGGTTCCTGCAGCCAAGAAAAAGTAGCTAACACAGCGAATTATATTTAATCGTCCATATGTAGCAAATTAGTTTGCTGCTGCAGCAAATTATTTTTTTTCGCGGCAGAATTCACATCTTAGCAAAAAAGCAGAAAACGGAAATAACACTTTACAATTAGAGTTCTTCTTTCTAAGTGAATATTTTCCTTCGGATCTTGGAAGAATGCGCACGAAGCCAATATGCATAAGAGGATCACCCGCCAAGAATGAGATTATATTTTTGCGGCTGTTCCGTCCGGAAACGCGGAATCCTTTTTTCTGCTTCAATTAAAGCGATAATCGATGACGCCGTAATCTCTCGAGACTCGTTGCGGAGAATAAATTACAGCCGCGACGATTGAGGTACACGGAGAAAAATTATTTGCTGGCCCAGCAAATTTTCTGCTGGTCCAGCAAAATCTTTTCGTTATTTTATGAACAGCAAAAAGATTTGCTAATCACTATTTGCTGGATATAATTTGTTAAATCTACAAATTATTTTGCTATAAGAACCATGATGGATTTATATAAGCAGTTGCTCCAATAGCAAATAAATTTGCTAAGGATACATTATTTTGCATTAATAGCAAATTAATGTGATTCTTAGGATAAATATAACAAATCTCAACAAATTTTTTCTACCCTGGCAACGAGACTACTTCTGCTCTGATAACGAATAATTTGTAAAATTAATTACGTCAACTGAATTTTTTGATGTTACTACGAATATACAGTAGCAACGACGATTTTGCTAAAAGAGCAAAATTATTTTCCTCCGTGTAGACGAGATGAGAACATTATCTATCTTCGTCTAATGTATTTTTCATACGGGGTGATTTGCGCCAAAGCGAGGCCGCGGCGGAATGAGTGCGTTTACATGGGTGCAAATAGAGTATAATAAATTACTAGCCACGGCCTAATGTCGATTCGATCTCTCTTTCTCCTCAGCAGGGTATCTCGGGCGATGCTTACGCAGAGTATAAGGAGCTTCATCCTTCCCGGGGAAGACGATCGTCTCGCACGAACCACCGCCGTCACACTGGTCACTCTCATCTCTGATATTCGCTCTTTATATACGAAATTATGAAAATAATAGCGGGGGCCCACAGCTGATAGGTAAGATCCCATTACACCGTCGCGAAGATGCCATTAACGCCACTCGATATCTACCGAAGTAGGGTGGATCTCAGCAGCTTTTGTTCGCCGTGTGTCACGCAGTTTGCTCTGCTTTCTCCTGCTCTCTCTCTTTCTCTCTTCCAGCCTCGCTCTTTATTCATGTCCATTAAATAAGAGTACTTTCCCTCGAGACGGGCCTTCGCCCCTACTTCGCGTTACGGCCAATGCCGCGGCATATAAGGGTGTCCGTCGATTTCGTCGGAAACATTGCCGATGCGTCCACGACGTCGACAATACGGCTCTCGGCTGCAACCACGAATGCACGACGACGGTCATAGAAGTCCAATCTCGACACACCTGTCCCGTCCGTTGTTTTACATACGGAAAAAAATAATTTTGCTCTTTTAGCAAAATCGTCGTTGCTACTCGTAGCTATAATGACATCAAGAAATTCAGGTGACGTAACTAATTTTACAAATTATTCGTTATCAGAGCAAAAGTAGTTTCGTTGCCAGAATAGAAAAAATTTGTTGAGTGTATTTGTCCTAAGAATCACGTTAATTTGCTATTGATGCAAAATAATGTATCCTTAGCAAATTTATTTGCTATCAGAGCAAAACTGCAACTTTTTATATAAATCCATCATGGTTCTTATAGTAAAATAATTTATAGATTCAGCAAATTATATCCAGCAAACAGTGATTAGTACTCTTAGCAAATCTTTTTGCTGTTCATATAATAACGAAAAGATTTTGCTAGACCAGCAGAAAATTTGCTGGGCCAGCAAATTATTTTTCTCCGTGCAATCTTGACGCGAAGCGAGGCGCGCCAATAAATGGCGAAATACATCCAGAACTGCGAAGAGATCCCGACCGATTACGCAGACGCAAATCTAACACTCAAAAGCAGGCGCTCTTTACTTGCTGTTTGCTATTCCAAGCGAGAACTTTCACTGAGAGAGTATTCCTCTTCTAACGAGACGAACAATTAATCGGAAATCTGCTAGATATCATTCTAATCTTTTCGTTTCTACCCGTGCCGCTAATATTACCACCGGAGAACTCGATCGGCGTAGATCTGACAATCGTAATTCCCGGCCGGTGTGTACTTTTCTTCGCTCTGCCGGTGATCCGCGGAAAATGGGATTTTGACGACTTTTCCGTTGCGGGTCATTTTCTCGAGAATGCCCGGCGTCATTTCGTTTAATCGATGAGGCAACGGAGACTCGTGACAAATTGCGAAAAGTTCACATGTCGCGACGTTGCGTTTAATATTAATAAATATTACTAAAATCCATTTCCCTCTCCCAACTAACTGTGCATTGTTTTATTCCTTTTAAATGTTGCAAAAAATATTGCCTCAAGCAAGAGTTGAACTCTGATCTCTGGGCATTAATAATATTAGTGATAATTGGGACAAGGGATCGGTTCGTGACGTGGAAGGATGATTCACCGCGTGCGATGGATCGGAAATTACCGGTCACGTGCGTTTGAAACAAAAATCATCATTATCCTCCTATAGTTTAAATTTCGCATTGGACATCTGCGAATGTGACTTTTGTTTTTCTTACTCCGGTTGTACAGCAAACAGCTGATTTATATATGATTTATATTTGATTTATATTTAATTTATATTTGATTTCTTCTTATAAAATCTACAGACACGTCGATGCAGGTTCTTCACGAGCTCGTCGTAAGTTTCAACGACACACCGGCTGTGCTCTTTCCCTTTTTTCTCCTGTAGAGTCACGTCGACACGCGTAATCAAGTACAATAAGAAAATACCCCTCTACCTTACAGAGACACATAATGAGAACGCATGGTCCTCCGTCCATTACGCTCGCGTTTTCTTGGAACAGGCCGAATAAAATCGACGCGTATTGCGTAACGGGACATCTCTCACATTGGCCGTTAATCTTTTTATTCCATCAAAAGGCCAACGAGATTAAATCGAATCCCGCGAGAGGAATTCATGGGATCGTTAAAATGACACTCGGGGTGTGTTGTTGTGTCGCGGCTATGAAAGAGAGAGAGAAAGAGAGAAAAAAAAGAGAATCAGTAATAACTCGAGTTGTTCCATATGATTCACTGAAACCGATCGAAGGCCTTGGGAGATGATTCAATGGCATATACAGCGGTGATACCAGATACAGAGCACTCGACTCAAAGCACCTTGTATAGCTACACGAACGCGTGACAAGCCTCCCCAATTTTCGGCGTGATTGAATATTATTAGGTTTCAATATGCCTGGGCTACGTGTCGCGCATCGTGACAGGTTTTCTTCTCTCTTTTCGGCAGAAAAAGACTGTATGACGAGGCTAATGGGCGCGAGATGTAATTTACCTTGGGTTCTAGGGGATACACAGGAGTGGCGTACGTAAGAGACACTCGATCGCGCGGGTGGTTGCGCAAACACAAATCACCTTGGAATATTCCATGGTCACTAATCGTAGCCCGAAACAACATCATTCTCTTGGCAATTAAGATGAAAATGCCGATGTTCGGACACGCACCCAGTCGTCAAAGTTCTCATTACTTTGGTTCTTTTAAGTACGAATGTTAAAACTTTTAATATAAAAGATATGCATATACAAAGTATCCCACGTAAAGTGTTACAAGCTAATAACCCTAAACATATTTATCCTATCAAAAAGTTGTTTATGAGAAAGTTTCATATATTCGAGGGACCTTTCTAACTACGTAAATAAAAATCCACTTCCGTCCCCCCTTGAAGAGGGGCGGGGGGTAACTTCAAAGTTTCAAATGAGACCCCCTATACAATGTTACATATTTGGATTCTACGAGAAAAAACAAGTAAACTTTGTCTGAAACATTTCTTTGGAAAATGCTCCTATCAAAAGTTATAAACATTTAAACTTTAATGTAGAGTGCATTGAATTTAATGATAAATTAAATAAGACTCATAGTTTTTTTTCTGTTTTGTTTTATTTTATGAAATATTTGAACTGTTGATCATTAACATCTAAACACTTATTAATTCTTTTTACAGAACTTTGTCTAACTCTAAACAACATTTCTGAGGTCACCTTAATGCAAGCTGTATATATTCTTCGTTTTAAATCTTCTTTCGTCGTAAGTGGTTGAGATGTGACTTCCTCTTTGATATACCCTATAAAAAATAGTCCAAAGGTGTAAGATCAGATGAACGAGAGCGCCATTGAACAGGACCTCCCCGAAAAGCTAAAAGTTTAAATGTTCATAACTTTTGATAGGAGCAAAAAGAAATGTTTCAAAGTTTATTTGTTTTTTCCCGTAGGATCCCGTAGGAAATATGTAAAATTGTATAGGGGTCCCATTTGAAACTTTGAAGTTACCCCCCGCCCCTTTTCAAGGGAGGATGGAAGTGTATTTTTGTTTACGTAGTTAGAAAGGCCCCTCGAATATATGAATATATGAAACTTTCTCATGAACAATTTTTTGATAGGACAAATATGTTTAGAGTTATTAGCTTTATGTGGGCCACCCTGTATATATATATATATATATATATATATATATATATATATATATATATATATTCTACATTAAAAGTTGAAGCAAAATTAGCAGATAAAAATGAGAAAATCGAGTACCGATTAAAGTAAAAATATCAAAAAAATTCACAAAAGAATATACATACATTCTGTTGAAAGTTTTAATATATTTATATTTTTAAAGATCAATTCTCTCTCTTAAAGTGAATAAGTGAATATTCACTGATATTAGTTATAAGTATAATACTGAGCACTTTTAGTGCTATACTAATAACTGCAAATCAGTATATATTCACTGATTTGCACATTCAGTGATGTTTGACTGATTCATTTTAACGATTTAAGAGAGAAAACAATGGGAATACCTAGAATTGAGCGGGAATTGGTATTTGATTTTCTCACTTTTGTCCGCCAGTTTTATTTCCCGCACAATCGTCATTCCCCTGTATCGTTTAACGCACAAACGATGCACGCGGGCGTACGCAACTTTCACGGTCGCCGAGAATTATTTTCCGCACCAGATATGGGAGGGCAGGATCGATCGCGGGCACTTGCATCCCTCGTCCCCCACGCGGCTCACGGTTGACGAAGTGTCACTGGCGCCGCGTTTGTCTTCCCAGAATTGTCACACGTCAAATTGTCATTGTCTCTCCCCCATCTCCCCTTCTCGCTCTGTCACAACAGATTTCGAGACGGTTCCCTCTCGTTTGCTGTATGACATTCCAACATCGACCATCCGTTTCTCGATTAATTCCAATTGGACTTCACAACGTGACGCGACAACGAACGTTTAGTCCGAACAATTCCGAAAATTCACAGATAAAATTCGCCATTTCAGATTATCGTTGATTATTACCACTTCACGTCGCGAGAACATCGGACGTTATTAAAAATCTCGTTCGATCGTGATCCTCGCAACGCAGACGTCGTTCATTTCGAGGACATACGAACCAGCGCAATTCACCCTTTAAGTGATATCAAGCCGTATTTCAACGTGCCGCTTATCTCTCGATATTAATCTCCCGCTCGTCTCGCGCCCGAGACACTATTTTGACGCGAGCTTGACATTAATTGATGCGTTTATCGAAAAATATCCCGCTTCTCACTCACGCGCTTCTTACACACGTCGCTGCTAATAGTCAGACGGTACACGTGGAATTTTGATGGATTAACCATCTATTAAGCGTCTAGAATATCCACGACATTTTGTACAGCGCGCGGGAGTCTATCAGGACAATAATGATGTCTCGCGAATTCATCAAAGCGATATTACAAGCGCTGCATCGACCAAGAAAAATAGCTAATCGCCTTCGGCGTTTTACCGGCGAGTAGATCGTCGTAGGCGACGCGGATCTCCTCGTCAAGTTTCCTGCCTCAATTAATTCGCGCAGCGCAAATTGCGAGGAATGAACGCAACCCCTGCTTTGTCATTCAATTGAACGTCTTCATGGAAAAAAAAAGATCTGCTACATATGGACAACTAACATAATTTGCTGTATTAGCCACTTTTTCTTTGCTGCAGGAGCCAATTTCCTTGCTATGATAACAAGAAAATCTGCTCCTGCAACACAAAAAGTACACTGAGAGAAAAAAATAGTTGGAATAACTATAATCTCACTATATTTTATAGTTCTGGCCTCAAACATATATTTATAGTTCATCTAAACATGAAGATATAGTAGAATAAACACACATTTATAGTCACCATCTTATTACTTTATATATATATGATAAAGCACCTTTTGGGAATATAGTTACATGTATTTTCCAAATATTCCAATTGTATTGACTATATAAAACAGTTAATTTCTCTTACCATTCAATATTTGCTACCTTACTATATTTTTTATTTCAAATAATTATAATTCTTGGTAAAAATTTTACACGGGTCAGTTATACTATGCTTATATTGTAAATATTACAAATATTACAGTAACATTTACTATAAAAATGATATTCCTAACTATAATCTTTTTACTATGTCATTATAGTTCCAAATATCATGCATTTTTCTCTCAGTGTAGCTAAAATAATAGTTGTCCATCTGTAGCAAATTCGCTACATTAGCCACTTTTCTTGTTATAGGAGAGACTTTTCTGTTATCATAGCAAGAAAATAGGTCCTTGTAACAAAGAAAAAGTACACACAAAAAAAATTTCAGTTGGTCTCGAACCAACTGAAAATTAGATAATTAGAAACGATATCTCTGTTATGAAAACTAATATTTCTGTTGTCGCAACCGAAAATATTCGTCTGAACATTCAATGATATTAGAATTCGGTTGAGGCAACTGAGAACAATTGACTATACAGAAGCCCCATAAAGGAATTTTTTTGTTCCTACAGCCGAGTTTTCGTCTGATCCCTGAGCAACCGAAAATTCGGTTGCACCAACAGAATTGTTTTTTGTGTGTAGCTAACTCAGCGATATATATTTAACCGTTTATATGTAGCAAATTAGTTTGCTGCTGCAGCAAATTATTTTTTTCCATGTTGCGTTGTCCCTCGAGTGTCAGCTCAATCATACCCGGACGATAATTAACTCTTTAACACTGAAACGCAAAGTATTAATCCGCAAAGTTCCGCGAAATACTAATCCTCCGCATGGCGACTTCTTCTCCTCCTTCTCAAAGAATTAAACTGTCAATGAAGAGATCAAAAGAGGGGAAATATTCCGAAAGAAGAAGTACGTAATCCCCCCGTGAGATTCATCGCAGTCCGGAGACTAAAAGCGCCGATAATCTCGGCTGAGAGAAATTCTTTACCGCGTCATATGTCGCGGTTAACAGGTTGTCATCGTCGTTTCAAGGAACAGGACGCCCTCACGCCGAAGGGCTCGAAGCCGCCCTAAAAAAAATTCGGTAGGATATTCAGAGTCACGTTCAGGACGATCTTCAGGAACACGCGAACGCGGGAGTCGGGGAGAGTGCAGGTCCCGTTTTACAACGAGGGCAAGAAGTGTGTGCCTAATCGTCCTCGAAGTGTGCGCGTCGCGACGCGCTCGCGTCTGCGCGACGTTTGCGCCCCTTCCTGACGGGGGAGGGAGAGAGAGAGTGAGAGAGAGCGAGCGAGCGAGCGCGCAGCCCCTCTATATATTTCATGGGAGCACGAGGCTCGGGGCACTCCACGCGTTTTTCACGACGTGAGCAGCACATCGACGACGAGGACTGCGCGACCGGTGTCACTTTCACCTGGAGGACGAGCTATCTCGGCGTATCCGGTACCAAGTACCATCGTAGACGCGGCGCAATGACGAGGGGCGCGTTTCCCAGCTCATCGATCGCGATCACCGTCCTCATCGCCGCTCTCGCGGCGGCCGGACCCGTTCAAGTAAGACTCGGCCCTTCTCTTTTTACCGCAAGCCCGACGTCGCGAGATTGCTCTCCATTCAGCTCGCGAGTCCAATGTCGCGCGTGCGAAAGTTGCGGATGAGAACGCGTGTTTTATTTATTCCTCTTGACCTGTTCCGCGCCACCTTTGTCGCTTTGGGAGAGAAATTCGCGGGATTCGGGGAGCAAGACAATTTGGGGTGTAATTCAATTTTTCTGCTTGTAACGCGAGCAAAAGCGAATCGTTTTCGCGGCACGATTTCGCGGAACGATTCTCGCTCGGCAACGTGACAGAAAAAGAAGAAATGAAGAAACGCGTTTCGAATCCCATTTCTATCAGCGCGATTGGAATTTTAACGCGACATCTTTCTATCGCCCAACAAAAATTCGATGCATAGTAAAGAGTTCCTTCAATATTTATACGTTGTCGCCTGCCTCGTGGATGGGGAGAAATGAGATCCAAAATTCGGGGATTAATTTTCGCACGAGAACTTCGTTTTCGGCGGTTCTTTACGCGCGAGATTAGTTTCGCGCTCATGGCAATCCGCGTGGCAATCCGCGGGACTATGTCCGGAGGAACGCGAGACACGCGACAGCATAGGGTTAAACTTGTTAATTCTACTGACGACGATTAAACTCAGTAACCGCAACAATCTCCGATTTTATCTCAATTTGCGAAACAAGCACGAGACTGAGCAATTGTAAACAACAACGACAGCGCGCTCGCGCCAGGGCCGGCTGTGTTTATTTGTTAATCTCGACAACTGCGCATTATGTAGTATCTAGGCGAGATTGAATTGTTGCATTTTGACTTCGCAACGACATTGCAATTAATTTTCGTCGCTAGTAGCTGAACGCTTACGGCACACGATGACAAACGTACGCTAATTGAACGATAAAATGCACGCGCGACATTCAACATTATTATCTTAATGTCATTAATAATTCGCCCGTCATTAATTAATACGTTGCTTATTTCAATATTTGTGATTGTTTCAATATTAATATCCAATATAAATCGTCAATATCGCTCTCGCGAACTGTAAACATGTCGAGTCTCCGTACTTTGTCGACTGGCAAGCCTCATATACGTCTAACAACACTTGTCGGATCGAAGTCAGTTGTTTGAATCGAATTTGATCTTGTCATATTCCGTAGGACCCGACTGTTTGTCCGCCAAATAATCGCCGTCGTTTTCTACGAACTTTTGCCAACGTTCTGGCAATGTTCACGTACACGGGGAAAATTTTATAATAAATATTGCTACAGATTTTATAGTAAATGCTGCTACAGAATTTCGTAACCGAGGAATAAATCGACATTCCGCAGAAATTGACTATTCTTTCATTTCATATGCGATATTTATACTTTAAGAACTAGAGTGCGAAGGAATGGACTATGTTCCTTAAAAAATTGACTATGTTCCTAGCAAAATTAAGTCTGCGTTCTTAAGCGAAGTAAGACCTCGCTGATGGTCTACACTGAAGGGGAAAAATATTTAAGAAATAAAAAAAATATTTATGCAATGCCAATATATTTATTTATATTAATATATAAAATATTTTTCGAATGAAAAAATTTATATTTTCGAAAAAATACATCTTCTTAAAACTTTACCTTTTCATGAAAGCAACTGTATTCTGTTTAAAAATAAAAAATTTAAACTTGAGTAAATATAAACCAGTATAAACGGAATAAATATTTTTTTATATTTTTTCTCTGTGTACTGTATACAAGAAAAAACATGAAACAATTTTACATGGAAAAGAAGATCAAACTGTAACATTCTCTCCACATATTTGTATCGTTTGTCGGTTCACCGTCGAATCACAAACATTGAAAATATAAAAATATGTACTTAACATTTGATGTTTCGAAAATCGTCAGCATCACACACAGTCAGATAAAAATCATTCGCGACTGATCCACCCCCATCCGCGGGATAATACGCGATTCCAAGTCCCTTGTCGAACGACAAGAACGCGGTAACCGCACGATCTCGCATTACCAGAACCGGCCTGCACCGCGCAAAGACGGGTGCAAAGTCGAAACTTTTTAACGAAGAAACTTTCTCACAAAGAACAAAGAACGACAGAGAGAAGAGGGGACTATGTGCGATGTCCGTCGTGTAATTTGCAGCCTACCCGCGTCGAAGGGGTGGCGGCGAGCGTCCCGACGACATTAATCCCGCTCGTTAAACCCTCGACAGTTAGCCCTGTGTACAAGACATCGGATGTTTGCGAGCCGCCTCACTCCCCCGTCGATAATATCGCCGCGATCGGGCCGATTCGGAGAGCAAAGCCGCATCATCCGTGGCTCTCGCTTGCATTCGCAACTTGTTGCATCAGCGCGCGCGCGAGCGAGCTTCGAAGCGCGAAATAGTCATCTCGCTATTATCGGTCGCCCCCCGACCTTTCTCCACTCCCAACATTATCTATGCAGGCTGTTGGCTCGATAGTTCCCGACGCTGTCCGTCCTTCCGTCAACGTCTCGTTACCGGGGGTAAAGTCGCGGCAAACAAGTGTAATGTGCGCCCTTCGCCGCGCACTTCAGCAAATTGAAATTACGTTGCAGTAAAAGCCACCGTGGCAGACTATAAAATGCGCTTTTCGCGTCCGCGACGCTGAAAGATCGGCGAGAACGAACAGCGTCAGAGAAGGACATGCGAGTAGTAGGATCTAATTACTTTGACGCGCCGCGTACGAGTTGTGACGTTTCTTTATGAGCCCGCGGAGGAAATTACGTGATGGAGTGGAAAAAGAGAGAGAGAAAGAGAGATAGATAGAAATAGAAATAGAGAGAGAGAGAGAGAGAGAGAGAGAGAGAGAGAGAGAGAGAGAGAGAGAGAGAGAGAGACAGATCGAAAACATTACTGTCGATTTACGTCACTTTACTGTTCCTCAGTCGCCATTGCTCTCATTAATCCTCTAGCTAGCTGGCCGTGGCACTGTATCGCCAGTATGGACTTCTCTGCCGCAGTGTGCATATAAACGAAAGTGTACACAACTTTTAAAATCACGAAAAAAAGTGACATAATGACTTGGAAATTACTAAGAAACGATTTGGCGGAAAGCCACATCATTCAGTGGCGCTTCGTCCCACAGAATGACTTACAGGGAAGTCACTTTAGTGGCGCATAATAGCTACACTGAGAGAAAAAAATAGTTGGAATAACTATAATCTCACTATATTTTATAGTTCGTTTTGGCCTCAAACATATATTTATAGTTCATCTAAACATGAAGATATAGAATGAATACAGATTTATAGTCACCATCTTATTATTCTATATATATATGGTAAAGCACCTTTTGGGAATATAGTTGTAATATATACCTATATTTGCCAAATATTCCAATTGTATTGACTATATAAAATAGTTAATTTCTCTTACCATTCAATATTTGCTACTTTACTATATTTTTTTATTTCAAATAATTATAATTCTTGGTAAAAATTTTACACGGGTCAGTTATACTATGCTTATATTGTAAATATTACAAATATTATGGTAACATTTACTATAAAAATTATATTCCTAACTATAATCTGTTTACTATGCCGTGTCAAATATGATACATTTTTCTCTCAGTGTAGAGAGCTAAAATCCTCACTTGGACGAGTGGGCCGACGAAGGGAGTGCGCGAAAAATTTATTTTGAGGGAACTTGCTTCTTTCGCGACGATCCTCGAGGCAAGGGCAGAGCATGAGGACAGACGGGGTGGGATCAGATCCACGAGAGCTGTCGTGGAAATAACGTGCCTCTCGTAGCCGATAGGATCGGCTGTCTCTAAACGCGAGAAACTCGAGGCGAGTGGGTGCGCACGGGGCGGCACGCGAGGTAATTTGCAAGGACCTTCGGGTATGATAGCCGCTTGCTGTTATTCGCTTGCTACTTGCAGACGTGCAACTTGCTCAGCACTTTCAGTCGGCCGTGGCAGATCGTCGACGCGACGCGACGCCACACTTTGCAAGCCGAAATCGAACGGGTTAAAGCTCGGACACGATGCGACGTCGCGCGCCGCGACAGGAAAGTTTTCCCATGCATACAAATGGCGGCCACGAGTCAGTCGCACAATATCCACCAGCGATAATGACACTCGGCTTCATCTTGTAAACAAATGGTCGCAACGTGCGCGACAAGAGGAATCTTTGTCTAATCCCAGCTGTCCCGCGACCCGCAACGCATGTCGCCCGCGGATACATTCGGAATCCAATTTTCCATCCGATATATGAAACGCGGGAGTACACACGCGAGGAGAGGAGAGGAGGAGGGACCAGCGTTGGACATTAAATGCGGGTAATTGCTTTTGACGATGGAGTGATCGGCTAATCAAGAATTAAAATGAATCATCATGCAGCAGTCGCACGGACAGCGAAAGGTCCCGAGTTCGATATTCCCGGTCCAGCCTCCATCACGCCCGATATATTTTCTCACTCTTTCGCAGCTCCTTACAAGTTGATCCAGCAAGTTCATTTTATTAGACTTCACTCAAGCGGTTTGTAGAACTTTATAAAAAGATTGAATATTATATCAAATCACACGAATGACTTCATCGATCAATGATATTAATTATTTGTCAAACTTTGACATGGTTGGTCGTGTATACTGATCGATAATTAATGATTACATATATTGTGGTTGCATAGGAGATGATTGATTAATTTTTGATAATTCATTCCCCGATTATTTCAGCCAATTTCCGTCGATTGACATCCAACATATTGAAATCACGCTTACAACAGCCACGTATGTCTTCGCGAATCCTCTCATTTGCAGCGGGAACAAGTACTGCGATATTAATTTAAAGAGAAAAACACGCTTCAGAACGATCAAATGTGTTCTCGTGTCTTTCACAGAATGCGGTCAGAGAACGAACGGTTAGGTGGAGGGCTGATTTTTCGAGAGAACATCGCGTGGATGGAATCTGCTCTTTCATTATTTATTGAATCTTGCGTTTAGCAACTTTACAAGCGTCGTTTTTGCATCGCTCCGCGAGGTAAGACTGCTTCCGCGTACTTCCGGCGAACTTAATTCTTCGTCAATTACACTCGAGCAGTTTGTATAAAATAGGTCGGAAACTTCGTTAACTACGCCGGCCGCGCAATTAACCGCAACTCGCGGTTACATTGAGCGGCGAGAGACGCGAGATTTCATCGGCGCGATCGAAGCCACCGCGACGCGAGTCGTGCGCGACGTCGGGTGCGTCATTCGGTTTTAAAGCGAAATTAAATCCACGAGATTTTCCGTCGCTTTACGACGCACGCAAAACTTCATTTTCTCTCCGCCCTTGTAGCTCTTTCGTTCACTAAGCGTGGGTATCCTCAGTTGTGACGGGAACGCAGCTGTTCCGAAAGAGCCTCCTGGACGAGAAGCTCGTTTCATAAAATCGGATTGAATCACTGACACGCGTTACTCGGTCGGAAAAAGAGCAGGGAGAAAGAGAGTGTGTATGTAGGTATACGTCAATTGCTATCATAACGTGCACCTCCGGTTTCAGTGAAATGCGCGCTCGTTTGCAAAACGAATACATTTTTAATTCTGACGAAGTTACGCCCTAAAGAATAGCCTTGCAGCCATGGCGAAAATTATCTAGATACGAGAAATTAGTTAAAATAGATAAATGCCTAACAGACACTGCGAAATTAGCTAACATGTAAACTTACCCATAAGGTACACTTTCTTTCTAATTTGGCATAAATGTAGAAGTACAACAAATATTTAGGTTATGTTTTTTCATTTTGGCCTACTTTGAGTTTCACGGGCAGTTTATAGCTCTTTAATGTTCCCACTCTTACTATCAACAAGTGCAATAAAAATGCATAAGAAATAATATTGAATACAAATTTAAATAATTTTAACAAAATTATTTTTAACTAATTAAATAATTAATTAATTAAATAATTAATTAAATAATGTTAACAAAATTACTATAGCTGAGAAACGAACCATTCTAAATTTCTTTAGCCGAGATTCCAACCGAAATATTTCAAATCTGTGCTAAATTAATAAAAAATGATTCGAATTTCGGCCAAACCGAGAGAGAAATCCGGCAGTTTTAATTAAAATTTTAACAAAATCAGTATAGCTGAGACACGAATCATTCTAAATTTCTTTAGCCGAGATTCCAGCCGAAATATTTTGAATTTGTGCTAAATTAGTCAAAAATTGTTCAAATCTCGACCAAACCGAGAAATTATTTGTATAAATAATTTGTTTCAACTTTTTATATGTTTTGTTTAAACATTTTATTATTTATACAAATAATTTTACACATTTGGCCTTATATTCATAATCAGCAAATAAAAAACGCCTATATCTTGTATTCAATTTTATTTCTTATTCATTTTGTTGCACTTGTTGATGATCAGTATGTAAATACGAAACTCAAAGTGGGCCAAAATGAAAAAATATGACCTAAATATTTTTTGTACTTCTATATTTATGCCAAATTAAAAAAGAATCGAAGTGTAACTTTTAGGTAGGTTTACTTAAAATAATAGATAAATGGCTAACAGACATATTGCACATATATCTTGTATTTAATCAATATAGATGACAGAGACGAAATAGTTCTATCTGAACTATTTGTGGTACTTAGCAAGTCTGTAGTATTTAAAAAGCCTCTTTGTGGCGCCCGAATTAAAGTTTCAAAATTAACTGTGACAGAGAAAGAAGACCAATGTCGAGAGCAAACAAACGTATTCACTCTCTGTCATGTTGGCAGCGATAGTAACTGCTCAACGTGACCTCAGAGTCACGAGTCTATTTTAAGAAAATAAAAAACTGGAAAAGTAAGTTTTCACCTTATATGTGCCGAGTACTTTAGTTTTAAACATCTTACAAAAATTGTTTAAACATGAGAAATTAATTTGAGTAGTAGGGAATTAAAATGCAAGCCAATAAGCAGTGGCTCGTAATTGTGACTATCTCATGCGCTCTTAACTTGATCAAAAGCCTGTGTTTAACTTATTTTCGCGATAAGTACACATTAACATAAGTACATTTAATGATATAAGTATCGTAAAACGATCAGTGAGTTCCGCGAAGGAAAGAACGTTTGCGAGGAACGGCAGAACGTTTTTCCCTTTTCCGGAACGAAAGGGAAGGAAAGAAGAAAAAGAGTGGTCGATTCGGCGATATGACGCCGGCCTTAACCCCCGTAATTGGTCATGCGAACCGCAAACGCAATGATAAAACGGCCGACCTGCGAGCGTAGATATCGACCTACCATCGACCTGCGAGGATGCATTCAGGGTCAACTCCGGCGAGCTTCAAAGGGTTGTTGCTCCGCTGAAGAATGCGCCGCAACATTTTAAAGAACTTCTAAGACGCGAGCGTAATATCAGGGGATGAATTCGGCACACATCGCGCCAAGACAACGGGAAACTTTCCCATGAACGTCTCCATCCGATCTCGTTTCCGAGTTGCGAGTGCCTCTTCACGTTGTGTGTCACGAATTGGCTTCTTACAAATCGAATTGGCGTGACCAGCGCGCTTTACGGAGCACTTCGTGAAAAGTGCAGTAATTCTCAAGAAGGGAGAAAGAAAGAAAAGAAGAAAAAGAGACAAAAAAATAGAATGACCTTATCACAAATTACTAGTTAAACGTCGAGAAAACGAGAGTCACGAGCTAACTCTCTTGAGAATGCGCGGTGCAACGTCATAATACATGTATTTTCAATTCGGCAGCAAGATCACGCTCACACACACACAGTCGTTGACCATGTCGGGAATTTATAATACACTTCGCACCACAGCAAGACGGAAAAGTTCGATCCAGTTTAACGATGTTGAGCCAACACCAGCCCCGGCATTCCTGTCGCCACGAACAACGACGACGCGCGAAGTCCTAATTAGCATAATGTAACCCGCAACCTCGTTGCCGGCGGAGCGATAGCTATCGGTGATTACGGCGAAAGCACGTGCCGCGTCGTCACGCCGAGAGTGAACTTAACACGTGGCTGGTATGGCGTGTCTAGGCGCACGTGATCTTTCGCCAGCTCTGAATTATGCATGCTCGCGAAAGTCGATCGCTCACCCCCTCCCCTCCCTCGTGCACTTCATATAACATCGCGACTTCCGCGCGCGTACTTCTTCGACCCTCTTCTCCCCCGCGCTCACGTCGAAGGTGCATAATTGAACTTTCACCGTGTGAGTGAATAACTCATCAGCGTCGAATTCAGGTCTTTGTAAGAGGAGCGCGACGGAGCTTTCCGCCGTGGGGCTTTCCCGATTCGCGAGAAACGCGTCGCGATGTATGCCACGCAATATGCCCTGACAAGATGATTTATCATACGATCACGATGAGAGTTAATCGCCCATGGGATTTACGTAAAAATATATTTTCCACATATCTCGGTGCTTTAATATAAAAGCGAATATGTTAATGATTGATGATGATCTTTAAAAAGATATTCAGCTGAAGTCGCAGGAAAGCAATCACATTGTGATAAAACGTGGTCATCACGCATTTCTACATATCTGGGTGTTTTGCAATTCTAATTAAATAGATAAACATCCCGACGGACTCTTGAGAGTCCAGCGGTAAGGCGCAATTCAACAAGAGTTATCTGTAGCTGCAATGTTTTCTACGTATCGTTATGAAGACATTAATTATGAAGAATTAATACACCGACATCCAATTCTGATATGTAAATACTGTTATTGGTCACATCATTGGTCGTGTTTAATTTCAATTTCGCGTACGTGCAAATTTATCCTATTTCCCGGCTGCAAATTAAACTCTCACCTCGCTGTTAAATTTCCACCTCACGCGATTTCCACATTCATTTATCTTAAGATATAACATTCAGTCGCGGACTTGACGTTAGCTGCGTCGCTTTCGCGATTAAGGGGATGCCGAAACTGAAAACATTACCGACAGAATACTGACATGTTTCTGCAAAGTTTACGTCGTATTGGTTGTGCAGAATTACAAGTTTAATGAAAGCACGTGCCAAAATAAATAAGAACATTGCTCAATATATGATGAAAACGAAAAAAAAAATTTTATGTAAAATTTTTTAATGTAAAATCGTCGCAATTAACAAGTTTCACCGGTTTTCAGTTGCAGACTGGGCCGAACGTGCTGCAACGGGAGGAGTACGGCCCATCGGCCTTGGCGGATCTCTTGGCGAGATACTGGGAGGAACGTAGTAAGTGATTTTTGCTTATTCCTATCATTAAGAGAGCGAAATGCGTGACTAGATAGCTCGGCCAACGAGGAGAAGACCACCGCGGATGTAAAACTCGAAACAAACATTCACTGGTTAATCAAAATTGCATTTTTTAAAAGAAGCGAAATGAACCGCAAGGTAAACGCGATATCCATCGTATCGTGTGTAAATAATCCACCCTGCGTATTTGCTGTTGCTGAATTTTTAAATATAATCCCACGAGTCGTGGGGAAACAATCTATCTCACCCGTCTATTTTATCTCTCCCCGCGGTACGATTCTCGTTAATAAAGAGAATACATCTTATCGCTCGTTGCTCTTGCATTAACGTTGCGACACAAAGAGTAACGACGACATGCCCGCAAGATAATATACAGAGAATCAATGTGCGTGCACGTTGTCGCATTTAAAACTCAACGCGCAGCGCAATTAATGCAACGCCGATGCATCTCGCGCGAATCGCGCAAAACGGTGAGTGACTTTTTTTTCCCGGCAAATGAAACGCGCGTGATCGCGCCTGGTCGATAGATGCTAATCGGTCTGAGGAGAAAAACAAAGGGAAAAACAAAAAACGCGGTTTACTCCATTCTCAGCGAACGAAAAGCGTTACACTGTAAAAACTGATGTATTAAATTTAACATTTCATGTGTCTCAAATCATCCACTCTCATTTATGTGTAAATTTAATACAAAACAAATGTGGTAAAAAGTAACACGTATAATATGTAAAAAATTAATACAAGGATTTAACACTTGAATACCGTCAGGAATCACAGTTTGTGTTAAATTGACATATGTATAATGTTAAATTAACGAGAATAAAACGTTACTTGAGAGGTATTAATCTATGGTTTCGATGAAATGAAAATGTTAAACTGACATAATCCATGTCTGACATATTAAATATGTCAATTTAACACAACCTGTGATTCCTAACGGTATTCAAGTGTTAAATTCTTGTGTTAATTTTTTCCATATCATGCGTGTTATTTTTTAACACATTTATTTTGTATTAAATTGACATATGTATAATGTTAAATTAACTAAAATAAAACGTTACTTTAACATTTGAGAGAAGTATTAATCTATGGTTTTGATGAAATAAAAATGTTAAATTGACATAATCTATGTCTGACATATTAAATATCTCAATTTAACACAACCTGTAATTCCTAACAATATTCAAGTGTTAAATTCTTATGTTAATTTTTTTCATATTATGCGTGTTATTTTTTAACACATTTGCTTCGTGTTAAATTTATGCATAAATGAGAATGGACGATTTGGGACACATGAAATGTGTTGAATTTAACACATCAGTTTTTACAGTGTAATATCGCGGTTCTTCCTCCTCCCTTAGGTAAGACTTCCTTCGTAAGTGCGAAACGCGATCGCGGCCGACGCGCTAAGCAATTTCGCCGTTAATCTTTCATCGTGAACGCGCTTCCAGTACGCGTATCGCGTACGCATCGTCTAATTATAACGAACTGTGTGCTGTCCCAGGAGAGGATAAAAAAGCGATGCACAATCGATACAGCGAGGCTACTGTATGTAAACCGTGATCCTTTGCCCTTTGATGTATCAATTCTACACGCCGCGCCGCGCTAACAACCGTTGCAATTGTGCGAGTCGGCAAGATTCCGTCGATACTAGCTGGCTGACTCCGCTGCATTCGCATTGTGCACTTTACAGTTAATTGCTCGAGCGAATAAAATTGATAGTTATAAGGTTCGCGCAAGAGACTCATCATTTTCCCATTACACGATCATTTTCTCATAGAATATTACAATATTAATTCTTGGTTATATATCATTAGATTACAATCATCATTAGTTATTAGTTTATAATCAAGACGAATATAGTCAAATCAACACAGCCATTTTCTCATACATAACGAACAATATTGATATTGTTACTTATATATTGACAAAATAATTGTGTTAATTTGACTATATTCATCTTGATTGAAGATTAATGTATCTTCATAGCCTTCAACGTCATATAATCTTATTTTAACATTAATCTTATTTTTTAAATATCAATAACAAAAATATTCCGGCAATTATATTACGGCAAAATTCCATCGATACTGGCTGGCTGACTCCGCTGCACTCGCATTGTGCACTTTACAGTTAATTACTCGAGCGAATAGAATTGACAGTTATAAGGTTCGCGCAAGGGACTCATCATTTTTCCATTACACGATTATTTTCTCATAGAATATTACAATATTAATATTCTTGGTTATATATCATTAGTTTACAATCATCATTAGTTATTATTAGTTTACAATCAAGACGAATATAATCAAATCAACACAGCCATTTTCTCATACATAACGAACAATATTGATATTGTTACTTATATATTGACAAAATAATTGTGTTAATTTGACTATATTCATCTTGATTGAAGATTAATGTATCTTCATGGCCTTCAACGTCATATAATCTTATTTTAACATTAATCTTATTTTTAAAATATCAACAACAAAGATATCCTCCAAACAAAAATATTTTTCTTTTCTGTGCACGGCGCGATTCAATGTTTCGACAAGTCGACGTTGTTATACGAGCAGAATTCACACTGTGAGAGTCGTCATTCTCACAACGCGCTTCACAAATGTTTCACGCTGTCGATGGACGGAGCGTTCGATCGTGGAGCGCTTTCAGCCGCCGGTCGTACGAAGGGGCGAGATATTGAAAGTAAATAAAGAACAGCTCGCAGAATGCAGCGAGTGCATGTCGGCGGATAAAAGCGTCGGTTTTACGACGCTTATTACGCGGCGCATCCCCCAGCCGCCTGTTACGGCTCGATTAAGGACATTACGATCGGCGATTTAAGCGCCATAAATCCGCCCCTGCGGAGGAGCACGCCCTCGTTTCCCTCCGAAGAAAGCGGGACGTAAGAGGAAGCCGCTCGTGGATATATCAACGCTTAATCTCATCGGTGATACTTAATTACACGATCATAACGTCGAAAATATACGCGACGGAGACACGTCGATGTTGCGACAGAATTTTGGAACAGATCGATAGATTCTAATAGAGTAACAAAGGGGATGCTGAAAACTTTATCGACAGAATACTGAATACATTTTTCTGCAAAGTCGTATTAGTTGTACAGAATTATAAAAGCTTTTACGCAGACGTAAGATCGCAAGCCAAGTCCCCTTCTTGACTGCGTGGAAAATATACCAACATTCTCTTTGATACTATGTAAAGAGACTCAGCCCAACACACTTGGGTTTGCAGTGTGTTCGCCAGGCAACTCTGCTGTTACACGTGGCATTATTTCTCGCAGATTTCCTCAGCCGACTTGCGGCACATATAGAGAAACAATAGCAGAGCCTGCTCGCTCTCCCCTTGCCGAACACAGCGGTAGTCACCAGTTCTATTAATAGTTAACCAACATGGCTTAAATGTGTAAAAACAAACACTCGGCAAGACAGGGCATTTAAACGCAACTGAGTCGCTCGTATCCGAGGCTGATCGCGGAATACGCCGCATCATTTATTCACGTTGTCGTGGCGACCTCCTCGCTTTTCCGCGCACGCTCCCCTACGTGGGCGCATGGGACCCTTTACATATTAAATCGCGCCATTAATCATTTAAAGCGAGCGCGCGTGTGTGTCCATCAATTTGTCACGTCGAAATAAACGTCGCGTCGAGTGAAGTTCGTCCCAAACGTCACCTGTGAACGACTTCGTGTTTCACGACGCGCTTTACAGTATATGGCGGCGACAGTCTCGCAGTAATTTACGAAGGTTATGGGTACCCGGATATTTTTTTTAACTTTGGTAGTCTCCCCACCGTGTCTCAACCTTTCCCGAGGATATTTGCAACTATTTAACACTGCTCTCTTTATTCCCTTGATCTAAGATAAATAAGATAAATAACCATCTTCTTCTCATTCTTCCTGTACTCCTATTTTCTTCAAATATTGATATATAATCTCCAATTATATCCATTCAATCAGCTACCAACATTCCCGAACATTCACTAGATCGAGATATGATCTTCAGCCTCACGTATTATACCTGAGATTGAAAATCGCATAAGTAACTCTGATTATAATGATGCACTGTAAAAACTGATGTGTTAAATTTACATATAAATGAGAGTGGATGATTTGGGACACATTAAATGTTAAATTTAACACATCAGTTTTTACAGTGTAGGGTTATAATGGCGTTAATTATAACGATTTCAATCGTACTCGTACACGCATAAAGCTGAAGATCCAGGAACTCTCGATCCAGGGAACGTTCGGGCATTCGTGACGTGTGCACGCGCGAAAGAAGCTCATTGCGAGGCTGGTGTTGAGCTCACGAGCGAGCTGTTGTCACGCACGGAATGTTTACGTGCGGATAATCAAAATCGTCGGCATACCGACGCACGACGAGTCGAGAAGCAGGTAAGCGCGAGGGCAATCTAGGTAGGAGAATCCGCTAAATGCAGCCTGCTCATTCGCACGCAAGCACGACGCCGATGGTTTTGCATGATTCTGCAGCGTCGGATATGCACGAGGGATAAAATATCGGGAGGACGATCGCAGCGACGCACTTTCGCACGAAGGCCTCGTCGCATAATCGCCTTCTTGCATGGCACCTTGCATGACTTTGACGAACGCATGAATCACTGTGACAATAAAAAAATGAATGTTGGAATAACAGATTAATGAGATTGGACTAATGGCGCGCTGAATGTCGGGCGCGACAATTTCAATCTTATTTTCACGGAATTTTATAGTGAAACTTGCTATAATATGATGGATCTTGTAGGAAGAGATCGACATTCTGCAATAATTTACTGTTCTTTCGTTTCATGTATGCTATTTATGTTTTACACTGACAAGGAATCCCATAAGTGTTTAGTTCTGACTTGAATGAGATTGAAATATATTGTAATTCAAACCAAAAGAAGAGACACATATTTTTTTATACGTGTCCAAGCAGACTTTTAGGCAAAACATCCCTTTGAAAAAAAAAACGATTTTTTTTCTTTAAGTACATGTTTTGTCAAAAGTATAAGAGATAGAAAAAAATTTTCTAGACAAAGTTAAATGGTTTTAGGAGTACTTTGCAATGACAAAATCAGATATTTGTGAAAATTGGTGAGTGGTGTGGGTATACTGACAATTATAAAATTTTTCAAATATCTGATTTTGTCATTGCAAAGTACTCCTAAAACTATATAATTTTTGTCTAGAAAATTTTTTTCTATCTCTTATACTTTTGACGAAACATGCTTCTAAAGAAAAAAACCGATTTTTTCAAAGGAATGTTTTGCCCCCTAAAAGTCCGCCTGAGCACGTATAAAAAAATGTGTGTCTCTTCTTTTGGCCTGAATTACAATATATTTCAAGCTCATCCAAATCGGAGTCGATCTGACTAAAATTATAGTTATTTTTAGCTCCGACTATATTTTTTAGTGATTCTAACATGAAAATGATAGTAATAACATACACATCAGATTATTATCACCAACATCTTAATAGAACTCAATAAAAAAATATGATTTTTTTTACTATAATTTATAGTAATTATTTCTTTATGTGATTGTAGTTGTAAAATATTTTTTTTTTCCGCATAAGAATCGAATGCGCTATTAAAAAATTTGCTACACTAAGAAAAAATAATTGTTCATTTCGCCAAAATCATAGTAATTTTTCACGTCAACTATACTTTCTTGTGGTCCTACCAAAAAAATAATAATAGTAGCAATATAAAGTGTAAAGTTATCATTATTAACATTGTAGCAATACTTATTAGAAAAATAAGCTTCTCTTGACTCTTTCACTATATGATTATAGTTGCAAATATCAAATACTTTTTTTCTCAATGTATGTTCCTCGAAATTGACTATGTTTCTTAACAAGATAGACCTAACTGACACTCCTAACGAAAACGCGAAACTGAAAGGAATTTATGTGAGAAGAAACTGTAATTTTTCCGTTTCTCTCCGTATAGCGAGAGGATAAAAAAATAAAATAAAGATGCATGACCTATTTCGCTATGCACTTTGCATAGTTAGCGAATAATAGCGCCTTCGCTTCTCGAGCGACGCAGCGCGTCCGAAAAAAAATGGACGAACTAAAGTGAAAGGAATAAATTGTTTTGCGTGATTGAACAGCTACTTTTTCCTGAACACGTTAATTTGCACCGCATGACGCAATCGAATCGCTATTGTATAAATAATCCACGCATAAATATAACAAAAAAACATAAACTGTTATTGAATCCGATAACGTGTGATTTCGGTGAATTCACGTTTCGGTGCTGTCGAAAAATAAATAAAACGGGAAACTAATGTCCATATGGGTCACAATGGAGACGCAGTAATCGCAGTTAGTGGCGAGTATTTTCACTGATCCGCTCGCAGCGTTGAACACCGATTTCGCGAAATCGTGACCGCCTCCCAACGGCCAACGATATAAACGTCACATTAAAACTGTGCCTTTTGCAGGAGCAAATTCGTCTGCGAAACGGAACCTGGACCAGATCGGTGGCGGGCATCTTGTGCGGGACACCGATAAGCAACTCAGACATCTGCCAGAAGACGAACATTTCATCGAAAACAAGCCGAACTTCGCCAGGGAAAGATTCCCGCTGATCGCCGATCGACCCCGCAACGGGAACATCCGCAATTCTTCGATCGAATTCGAAATATTGTATCTCATGGATCCGACAAGTCGTCAGTCATTCCGCGCGAGTCGAATCTACAATCTGCTCGCGATTCCGACCGGTCTCGACGCGAGTGTCAAACGACCGAACGATCAACGCTTCGTGCCTCAGTTTACCGATCGCGACATGTTGAAGAACGATATGCGATTCGCGAAGAACCTCGATCAAATCGGCGGCGGGCATCTCGTTAGAAATTTGGATCAAATTGGCGGCGGAAATCTCGTGAGAAATTTGGATCAAATTGGCGGCGGAAATCTCGTGAGAAATTTGGATCAAATTGGCGGCGGAAATCTCGTGAGAAATTTGGATCAAATTGGCGGCGGAAATCTCGTGAGAAATTTGGATCAAATTGGCGGCGGAAATCTCGTGAGAAATTTGGATCAAATTGGCGGCGGAAATCTCGTGAGAAATTTGGATCAAATTGGCGGCGGAAATCTCGTGAGAAATTTGGATCAAATTGGCGGCGGAAATCTCGTGAGAAATTTGGATCAAATTGGCGGCGGAAATCTCGTGAGAAATTTGGATCAAATTGGCGGCGGAAATCTCGTGAGAAATTTGGATCAAATTGGCGGCGGAAATCTCGTGAGAAATTTGGATCAAATTGGCGGCGGAAATCTCGTGAGAAATTTGGATCAAATTGGCGGCGGAAATCTCGTGAGAAATTTGGATCAAATTGGCGGCGGGCATCTCGTTAGAAATCTAGATCAGATCGGCGGCGGGCATCTCGTTAGAAATTTGGATCAAATTGGCGGCGGAAATCTCGTTAGAAATTTGGATCAAATTGGCGGCGGGAATCTCGTGAGAAGTTTTGAATGATCTTATATGAGGTGGAATCGGGAAGGGACGAGGAGTTAATCGCGGAGTAGAGTTCTGGTGTCAATTCTTGATTTAGCGTCGATCGCGATCACGTCTGAGTTCCACTCGCTCATGTGTGTGTAACTTGAAACATCATCAGACGAGAGAGTAACGCTGTACTCGCCTTCTTCTCGTTGAGGCTTCTGTTTCGTTTGATTTCTCGTCAGAAGTAGATTGAAAGACACAATAAAGTTTTATCTGCAGTCGTATCTTTTCTCTTCCAATTTCTTTCCCGACATTATCCAGTCTCCCATTAAAAAGAAGAAGGAGAAGAGGTACAGATTTTTGAAATTTTCAAGGTGCGGCCAGCCGCAATTTAAACGGCGTCAGTAGCGGCAACCATCTGCTGAGGCAGACGCGTCGAGGATTGGACTCGTTATCCGGAGCAACCTTCGGTGAGAGCAAGAGGCTCATACCTCTCAGGTAAATCATTATCGGTACGTTCGTTGTGCTGGATGATGAAGGCGCGATCTTATTTCAGCGAAGAGTTCTCGTGTTCCATTAATCTAACTCGTTACCGAGAGATACTTTCTCTCTCTGAAGATGAGATCTGTAGAGCAACTGAGCGAGCGACAAATACTTCTCGCACCATTCGTTATATTTAAACATTATATTTAAAGCCCATTCTACATTAAATGCAAATCGCAAGTTCGTAGGAAAATTTACCAATCACAGTCGATCGTTCTTCTTACGACCAAAGAAGAATTGACTGTGATTGGTCTATTTTCTTGCGACCTTGAGACTTGCAACTAATGTAGAACGACTCTAACATGAGATGTATTAATATATCGCGTTCTTGAGATGCGTGACATGATATATTTTTCGGAATTTTCAATTTTGACGGAGTGATACAGCAGTCTTCTTTTCTCCTGAACGAATTAATTCCTTTCTTTTTCCTGTACGTTAGTCACTCTATAATGGAGTTACTTTATAACTCTATTCTTTTCTGCATTAAAAATCAGTCTTTCGTTTTTTCCCAGTTTTCCCGTTCTAGTCCCGTTCTAGTCCGCTCTTCTGTCGCTATTGTGAGAGACAACGACGAGGATGTTCTAACACTCATCAGTTTCGAAAATCGCGGAGGAAGCGGGAGAACAGTTCGCGCTTCAGGCGAATGCAATTAACCAGCCGACGGGAAACTATCTAACCAGAATATACCGCTAAGTTAGTGGGAATTTCCGCGACGAGTTAACTTTACTTTGCGCACCCGTAATTGGAATTTATGTCGCGAATTAATAAGAACTCGATGCCAGAACTTAGGTTAGGCCGCATACGCTTCAATTAAGCGGTAAACGCACGTTTTATTCGCTTCCGGAAGCGCTCGAACTTCTCCCGCGGATTCAAGAAGGTGGAGTATCCGCAAACTTCGTTCCTTCCAAGTAGAAACGACACGGTCGAGTGTTTTATTCCATCTATGTAAACATTACCTTCGTGCCTTCACGTTATTTTCCGAGGGGACCGCGCGAGACGCGGATCGCTTCCGCCCGGCATCTATTGTTATTCATCCCGACCGAATAAAAGTAACCGTCGCATCGATTGTTCGTATTACGTAACCTGCTGTTTTATTCCTCCCCGCAGCTGTTCTCTCTATTTTTCCACCCACGCCATGGCAATAATAACTACCGTCCCGCCACGTGCAGCTTATTAAAACGCTGCACGTGTGCGCGATCGGGATCGATCTTCTTACGAAATTCCACGTACATATCCGTTCGTTTCTTGCTTTTCTCTGGCTGCCCCGCCACGAAACAGCTACCTCGACCACGCGAAACGGCGTCGATCATCACCGCGAATCAATTTCACTCGACAAATTAATTTATCATGCGTTCTGCGAAACATTTCTTCCAAACGCAAAAGAATCAATATACAGAAAAGTGAAGTCCTGCTTAGCGTTTTCTGCCTCTAAATGGCAGGAAACGCGCAAAATGCCACTTGTAGATTTTAAAAGGAATTTCCTGGAAGAGCTGTAGGTTAAATAGAATCAAAAGAGGTTGATAAAGGCCACATTCGCCCTTTCGAATTAAAATTTCAGAGTCCTACTTTCGACCTGAACTTCCCGACATCTGTATATTCTGAGGAATAGATGGACAGATTAATTTATCATGCGTTTTGCGAAAAATTTCTCCCAAATGCAGAAGGATTAATATACGGAAAAATAAAATCCTGCTTAGCGTTTTATGCCTCTAAATGGCAGAAAGTGGCACAAAATGCCACTTGTAGATTCTAAAGGGAATCTCCCGGCAGAGCTGTAGATTAAATAGAATCAAAAGAGGTTGATAAAAACTTCAGAATATCCAAGTAAATATTAAATGGAATAACGAGAGCAGAAGTAAGATCAAAATTTCGACTCGAATATAATGAAAAAAATGAAAAACCTTCTTGTGCCGAGACAAAAATAGAAAGTAATATCCGGAAAGAGGGAAAAGCGTATTATGTTGCATTCGCATATATCTCTTTCTCTCCCTTTGTTATTTGTCACTTTAATCTGACTACAATCGTCGATATCTCCTCCCCGAGTCGCAAGTGCTCGCGCTGTACTCGCGCGAATCGCCCGTGTCATTTTATTAAAAGCAGTGATGGATTTTTCAAATATAAAGCATAAAAATGCGAGAAGAGATAGCCAGAGGGGATCAAATAGAACGCGATGCTTGCGATATTTTCCCCGTTGCAAAATGTGTCATAGCGTTTCGATTAAAGCGCGTCCACCGTACCTCCGTTCGAGCTTTATTTAATCGCCGAGCGCTCGATTGTGTATCTTTTTGTGAATTTAATTTCCCCCCCCTCTCTCTCTCTCTCTCCCTCTCCCCCTCTCGTTACCTCTCTCGTTCCAAGCGAAATGTCACGTGTTGACGCCTCGTGCAACATCGCAATCGATGTGAGAAACTATTCTAACGCGGCTTCTCTAAGGGAGATATTCTCCTAGACCTCAACCTATAGCGTGTCTATTATTGCAGGCGAGTCGGACCTGCGAACGTGCGGCCAGTCAACTTCGACGAGATCGACCGGTCGGTGTTCGATCGTTTCTCCAAGAGGAATATCGACGAGATCGACACCGCGTTCGACAGCTTCTTCAAGCGGAACTTCGACGAGATCGATCGGGTCGGCTGGAGCGGATTCGTCAAGAGGCTCGATAATTACTTGGCGGACAGACAGCAGGGACGTTAAATGGCGCAGGTGTACATGAAGGGCGAGGCACGAGAGTGGCTTGACGAAGGGAGAGTAACGGGCGAAGGGCGATGAGAGAGAAGCGCAAGGCACATCGCGAGACGCGAAAGAATCGCGCGCGTTCGCCGGCGGACATTCTTCAACTGGCAAGCGGGATCGTTCGACGCGATCTCCTTCTGTTCCTCCACACGTAGAACTGTTGGATGTATTTTCAGTCACAGATATCGGGTAAAATGAGGGTCGAGAAGGAAAACGGCACGTTGTCTCGCCAACGACACGTGTCCGCAAAAATCGAAGAAAGAAAATCAGAAAAATCGTCTTCGATGATTTCGACGGTGCATCGCACCGTGCATACTTCAACACTCAAAAACATATAATTTTATTCTTGGCGGAATCTTTTTTACACACACGGTCTCGAGAAGATTCTTCTAAGACCAAAAGGAAAATATTTAAAGAGAAAGAACTCTAATTGTTTCCTGTAAAGCCACATTGGGAGAAAGAAATATTTAGAAATTAACAAATATTTACTAGGTAAGTACCATTAGCATATTTATTTAAATCACAACTTAAATCAACTTAAACAATACTCGGTTTAAATGAAAAGAATTTTGATTTAAATAAATATGTTAGTGGTATCCACCTAATAAATATCTATTAATTTTTAGATATTTTTTCTCATCCTTACTGGAAGAAAAGGGCATTCTTCTCTTTTTATGCTGCCCTCTTATTAGAAGAAATGTCTATTAAGAACAAGACTTGTACTGCAGATAAATGATGATATTTCTCTAGAATTTAAGATTATTGTGCCCGGAATGTTCTCCTTTTGGTTTTGGAAGAAAGCTCTTGAAGCCACGTATGTGTGTATGTATAAAAAGATTCCGCTAAAGATAAGATTGTACGTTTTTGGGTGAATTCAGTTCGATTAACCGTCACCACTGTGTCTAACTATAATTCACTTTTAGAGAAAATTTCTTTTTCTCTCTGAGATTCTTTTAGGGAGAATTTTCAAGCATTAGCTGTCAAGATCCTCAATGTTAGAGACAAGATGCCTGCGACGAACGAGGGCCTATCGCGATTTTCGCGGAGCAAAAGCTGAGTTTGCGGTATCTCATGCAGAACGTGTGACTGACAGGACATCCCTTGGTTCTGGAAGACCGTCAACCGATCGAAAACCGCGTCAAAGCGAGGCGGAAAATATGCAGAATATTTGGGAGAATATACAAAGAATTTATTTTGCTTCATCGCGAACTCACGCGCGAAAGCAGGTTCCACCTGCTGAATGTACGACGATCTTCCGGAACGTGTTTGCTCTCCGCGATGCTTGTCGGCCGCAAAAACAATCAGACCCACTTCGGATATAAGCTCTCACGTACTTCCCGCTGTTGCAGTTCTCGGCGATTTCTCGAAACACGCTGCGCCGCGCGAGCAACGCTGTTACGCCGTAATAACGGACGGCGTGTATATATTGTTAATGTGTAATTAATTGTATATACTAAAGACGCGCTCGATGCAAGTCTTGAAGTTGTAACGCGCAAGGAGAGAAAGAGAGAGAGAAAAGAAAAAAGGAAGAAAGCTTAAATACTCGATGCGATCGCGAGGAAATGGAACGTAACGAAGACGTTTGCGCGCTGTGTTGTTTCCTCGTTCTTGACAAGATTTCTCGGTCCGAGAGACACTCAGGCGTCTTGATGTCTTTACACCCGCGATATACGCGACTCGACAAAGATCTCCTCTCCTCGCGATCCTCCACTCTCACGAAATCACCCGGGACGCCTCTACGTGCCCGCGTCGTTTCGAATTCGCGGTTGGTTCGAGATCGGATAATGTGACTACGCGCGATTCGTCCTACTACTCCTACTTCTCGTATGCGCTGTCATTCTGCGTAAAAAATGTGCTATCTAAATAAACGAGTACGATTAACTGGTAGCCGAGCGAAGATCCCATTTTCTTCTACATCTTCGCCGGCGAGGACGGTCGCGGGAAAACCGTGCGAGACGAAGAGAGAAAAGTCGAGAGAAAGTAAGGAGGAGTGTAGAAGGGATGTGGAAGCGACTCACCCCAAGAACCAATTTAAGCCTCACACTTCCACGTCGGCCGGAAGCCAATGGGTTTCACATCGGCTGCGGGTCGGGCGTCGTTCAGCAGCTGCACTTCCGGGTAAACGGGCGTACGTGGTCTCTCCTGTCTCTCCGGCGTCGTTACGCGCGGGAGATCGCAGAGGTCGTACGACTGCGACGCGATGAACTTAGCGATAGTGTTCTGCGGCAGAGGAGAGGTGTCCCTGGTCGCCGCGGAAGTGGCGGTCGTGATCCGCAACTTCTTCGGCGTACGCGGATGTTCCGATTGCGGTGGCTGCTTCTTCCTCGCCGCCGTGAGGATGCTCCTCACCTCCTCGTTGATGTCAACCGGCGTCTCGATCCGCACGCTCTTCGTGTTGTAGTCCATTCGCACGAGCTATCAAGAAAGCAGTGTTTCGCCTTTCTGTTTCTTTTTACAGACGGATTTAGAAGCGCGTTCCCTCCCTCGCTGTCTCTTAAGTAGGAGGAGGTAAAAGACTGTAAACTTCTCGACTCTACTGCGACTTTTCTCTCGCGACTTTCTCGATACAAGAAATGTAATCGATTCGTCGATGCTACATACTACGTGTGCAAGAATCAAGTTGCAAAGATTAGAATTAGAATAGAGAAGAGTGTTTAGAATTAATATTTCTCTCTTGAGAATTATATCACTATTTATCGATGTCAATATTTATCTCAAGAATCATACCTCGATCAATCCTTCTTCCAGTTCTAAGTAACATTGCAACAACAGGCTTACTTTTGAGCTGAGCTTGGTCAAGTGATCGGTAATGGACAACTCTTTGGCGATGTCTTCCTTCATCTGCAGACAAGCAAATTTAAATATTCGTTGCGCTGTACAGTCTCTCGGTAGCCGAGATAAATTAATTCACGCACCTGCTCCATTCCCGCGGATACTTTCGAGCTGATATAAGCAAGCGTCGCACGCGACTCGGAAATCTATTATTAATTGTCAGTTATTGTTGTTATTGTCAGTTTATTAATAATCTCTCGTGGAATAATAAATGTGAAATATATGATCGATTCCAATAAGCAAAGAGCAAAGATTGAATCGCTGTTGTAAGCGCTTGGTGAAACAAAAGAAAAACTTGATGTATCGTTTCGCTCTCGCGGAACATGTTATACTTACGATCCTATTAAATCTCTCAGCTTCGGCCATGATCCGATAGTGTTCTCTCATCACTCGGAAAAACTACAATGAAACAATATTATTCGCATATGTGACTCAATGTTTCTATACTAATCCTCTAGATCCATTTACTAACCCCTATCAGAAAAGAATATAAAAATTCTATTACTTACGCGTTGGCAGATGTACGAGACGACAGTCGCGTTCACCATCGCAAATATCACGCTGTTGAACAAGCGGTATATCAAATACATAATAAAAATGTCGGACTAAAACACAAAATATTAAGAAATATCAAATTGAATAAGCGATCTATTCGAAATTTCTCCTTCCCGGCGCAACGTCTCCCCAAACGGCCATATTGGACTGAAGGTAAACGAGAAGAGCCTCTCCCTCCTTCTCTCTCGCTCCGGGACTGCTCGAGAGTGCAGAGAGTGCAGAGAGAGGGAGCAGACGGGTGCGAAGGGTGCGGAAAGTGCAGATAAAGAAGTGCACCGGCTCGAATCCGACAGTTGGCGAGCTTGGCTGGCGCGACGAAGTCTCGCGGTTGGCGATGCTGCGCGTCTGAAGTGTCGAATCGGGCCGCGAGCGCGCAGTGGTGAAACACTGTGCGCGACTGTGCGTGCGTCCCGCCCGTGTTATCAGCAAAAATATGCAAAAGTATGAGAAGCTCGAGAAAATAGGAGAAGGTGAGCGCGGCGTGACGTAGTGCGGTTCACGGCAGCCGGCCCCGCGTAGTGTCCTCCACGTAGTCCGTGACGTCGTGCGGCCCGTGTCTCACGACGACGCGTATCGGGGAGGCGACTGCTGCGCGCCCCCGGCGCCTGGTGGCCGCCTATCTTCGCTGTCACAACACACAACACCGCCGTACCCCTGTGTGTCACCACCTCCACCGCTTCGTTTTTCGTTACAGGCACTTATGGCACCGTGTTCAAAGCCAAGAATCGCGAGACACACGAAATCGTCGCCCTCAAGCGAGTACGACTGGATGACGACGACGAAGTAGGTACTCTCCTCTCTCGCGCGATTACCCTCTGTTTTTTCTCCTCTGTCTTTCTCTCTCGCTCTTTTTTTCCTTTGTCTTTTACGCACACACACACACACACACTCTCTCTCTCTCTCTCTCTCTCTCTCCCCCCCTCTTCCCTTGTCTTCTCTACCTAGTAATTCCCTTCGTCGTAGATCCCCACTTGCCACCGCGCGACACCGGCCTTCCGATTAATTTAATTAATCGATCGCTCGTGTTTTATTTATAACGCGCGACGCGACGCGCGATACACTCCTCCTTCCTTCTCTCTTCATCTCTCTTCCTCACTCGCTCTCCTCGTGTTGTCGCATCGAAGGTAATCGTTTGACCGAAGGCCGGTGTACACTCATTTACTTAACGATAGACTCCTGCCTTATCGTCTCTGATGTGCTCCTCACATTGACTTTCCAAGGGTGTGCCGTCGTCGGCTCTGCGGGAGATCTGTCTTCTGAAGGAGCTCAAGCACAAGAATATAGTTCGTCTGTACGATGTGCTGCACAGCGACAAGAAGCTCACTTTGGTGTTCGAGCACTGCGACCAGGATCTTAAGAAGTACTTCGACAGTCTGAACGGGGAGATCGATCTAGACATTGTTAAATCATTCCTGTAAGACGTCCACTTTGAGAAACTCGATTTATTCCCCCCTGTGGAGAGCTGGTGTCATCATAAATTCACTCTTGCCTCTAGATACCAGTTGTTAAGAGGACTGGCCTTCTGCCACAGTCGAAATGTTCTGCACAGGGATCTTAAACCACAAAACTTGCTCATTAACAAGGTGAACATATAATTGCACATATACTTCTGTATTTGTATGTCCAATGCATCCTTATATACTCTTGTCCATGAGAAGGAAAAATTTGTCACTGTAGAATTGTATTTGTTGCACTGACTGGGACAATTGTTTGCAGAACGGGGAGTTAAAACTCGCCGATTTCGGATTGGCAAGGGCGTTTGGTATCCCCGTAAAATGTTACTCCGCCGAGGTAGTTACGTTGTGGTACCGTCCCCCCGATGTTCTTTTCGGAGCGAAATTGTACACGACGTCCATCGATATGTGGAGCGCGGGCTGCATATTCGCTGGTAATGGTTTGTCAAAGTTACTCTCTTAAGAGTGGAGTACTTAAATAGACCATCTACTTTTACAGCCCACAATTTGGCCCAAAATTTACTTTTAGTCTACAAAGCGCAAAATTTCCACGTAAGGTAACAGTTCTAATTATAGGTCGAATCCCAATTTCAGCTCAAACTTGGTTTATTAGTAAATTAAAAAAGTACACATTATAATGAAAACACAAAAGAAATTTTTTGTATTTCTCAGTTCTTTTATAATTATATTCGAAAGTTACATTCACAATCTTAATATTTAAGAAAAAAATATAGGATATCAGTTGTTTTATATTGGCATCAGCAGTTTGTTTTAATGTTTAATTGCCAAATTGATATAATTGAGAGTTACTGTAACCTTAGATGACTCATAATTAGGACTGTCATTTTGTATAAAGAATGTGTAAAGAATAAATTTATTTCTTACTAATTTTCCTCTAATATGAAAAACAACAGATATTTTAGAATCTAACGTTAGATGATTTGCCTTGTATATGTATATATTTTTGTCATTTTCCAAGAGAAGAGTTTGCTTGAAACAAGCACTTCGTTTTTGCGACAGTATATTCAACTCCATTTTAGAGCGTAAAATAACAGGAATGTAGAAATGAAACATCGACGTCTTTCTCAACGACACGTTGCAGAATTAGCGAATGCCGGCAGACCGCTATTTCCCGGGTCGGACGTGGACGATCAATTGAAGAGAATATTTAAGATGTTGGGCACACCGACCGAGGAGACTTGGCCGGATTTGACAACGCTGCCTGACTACAAGCCCTTCCCACAGTATCATCCCACGCAAGGACTGGCACAGGTCACACCCAAACTCAGTTCAAGAGGCAAAGACTTACTCCAGGTAAATGATAAATCGTTTATTCTTGTTTCGTCGAGAGAAGAAATGCGAGAGATATAAATGCGAATATTTCTAGAACACGCGTCAAACGCATGGAAAAACGAATAGAAAATATATACTATCTGATTAATTTACAAACGATCATACAAAACGAAGCTTCTCGCAGTATCGATGGTAATAAATCTATCTAACGATTGGAGAGAACAGCAAACTAACAAATATGAAGTAAAACAAGATAGATAATGGGACTAGCGCTTATAAGAATATCACCTAAGATATAAATACCTATTTAGTAAATCATAAGAGAACATCGTCGCAATCATGCAATGTAATTTGACATACGTACAAAAGAGACATAGTCTCGAAGTATCGATTCAAAATTCTCGATGTATAGAGGGACTGTAGGCGCCGTAAATGAGAAGTCTACAACAGCGGGGAATGACAAATATGATACTTAAAAAAGAACTTCTCCAAATATGCGGCGTTTACAAGTTCCTCCTCTTTTGTTCCTTTCACGTGAATATACATCGAGCCTTGAATAGCTATCGGCAACGTGTAACAATATTCAATTAATTTACAGAGATTATTAGTGTGTAATCCGGCCCTACGGCTGTCAGCGGAGGAGGCGATGGCGCATCCGTACTTCAACGACTTAAACCCTGCCATGAAGAACGACCGATGCCAATAGCGAATCCCTGTTAGTTTAGACCGACTGAAAGCATTACGGCGCTCACGGCGCGGCGACCAAAATGGAAAAGAAAGCACTCCGGCAAGGATCGTTTGTTAATATATACATATAATTACGAGCTCGACGCGACGTGAAACCGCTCCTGCAAGAGAGAGAGGCGGAGAGAGAGAAAGAGATACGAAGATAGATGGACGCCGAATTTTTTATCGTGAAAGAATCGGTGAAGCGTGAATTTTACCTCGTTGACAACCTCGTACCGGAAAAGAAAAAAAAAAGAACTTTGCGATCGACGGAAAAGAACAACTCGCGAAGTCATAAATGGTATGACGACATTTAACGTAAAATTCAGTAGGATTTTAAGCGCGATTTATTTATTAAATAATTGTGATATCAATAAACTGATATCTTAAATAAGCCTTAAGTCAACGATGTCGTTCCCCTTGACGACGCGTCCTTTACATTGCGTCGAAGTGGAACCTGTGCGCTTCTTGCAGCCTTTCGATCTTGTCCTCTCTTCTCTCCTTCCAATAGAGGCCCAAGATGATGGCCGTGATCAAGACGCAAGTGGCGCCCAGGGCGGCCGCGCTTAGCAGGATCAGCTTGCTGGGAGTCACAAACAGCTGGGCTTTCCACCTGGACGGTTCAGCGATCGGATTCGGTATTACGACCATCTGGGAATTCGGAATGATCTGCGGCCACTCGCGCGATTTGCCGCCAACCTGAGGAGCGAGCGAAAAATTAGAATACAGTTTTCATTAAGCTAAGTCGCAATATTGTAAAACTATCTGAAAGAAGAGCTTAAAGAGGAAGTAGACGTCTTTCCTCCACGGCTATACGCACCCCTATCGTAAGAGCGTCGACGAAATTTGGCGTTCTACCCAAACCAAAGGTGGTGTATGGCAAGTTGAGCGAGAAATGCGCACTCTGTGGCAACTGCGCGGCGATCGCGTTGCGAGGACTACCGTCCTGCGTGGTAGTCCTGTAAGCGATCGACGGTCCAGGTAGATTAGTGCCGTATGTCCTCTTCTTCTTGCCGAGCGAACCCGGCGAGATGGGATACATGCTGTTGGTGCGACCCGTGAGCACCATGACCTTGACGAAATTCGCGTCGTAATCGAGGCTATTCTTGAACGCCGCGGTGCGACGCTTATTATTATTAGGGCTGTTCTTGTCATAGTTCACCAAGATCGCGTCCAAGATGCCGTCTTGATAGAAATCGTAGAAAACCGCCATCACGGACTCGTTGTAGAATGGATTCAGTGCCTGCCACTTGACCTCGTAAGTGCGGTTGAAACCGGCGCAGTTGTTGCACGCCACATTCTGCAGCAAGAAGGACTGCACGTGCTCGCCGTTGGAGTGCTGCAGCGTCGCCAGGAGATCCGGATAGCCGTCCATGTTGAAGTCGCCGCCGCGCAAGGTGATGGTCTCCGTGTAACAATGACCGTCTGGTTTTACAAAGCCCCACTGTACACTGTTGGGGTCGCGGAAGTTCACTCGTAGATTGTGCCAGCCGTTGGAATACATCATGATCGTACAGTTGCTACAGGAGGCGTCAAAGCACAGTGGTAGTAACAGGCTCATCTTGCCGGTCAGCTCGACGTCTAGATAGAGAGTTTGCCCGACCTCGCCCTTGAATAAATGCTGTTAATATAGCCCAGATATCTCCATACCCAAATCCGTGGGTATTATCCATATTCACAAGTACCCGGATATCCATACTCGCGGATATCAGCCGAGCAAGTAATTTGCAAATAGTTACGAATACGCAATATATTCGTCAATTATTTGTTATTGTTAAAAAATCAATAACTTGAAAATGTTAAATTATTTCGTTAAACGTATTCATTAAACGAGCCACAAATTCCTTATGTGCAGAAAGTGTATAGGCGCAAAATAAAGCTGCCTTCTTTTGATCCGAGAAAGCAAAAAGTTAATATATGGATATAATATAAAGCAATCTATATATGTTATAATGCAATTTATATTAGGGAGTTTATTCAGCAGATATGTACTTTCAGTGGCACCTCAAGGAAGCTATTCAATGGTTATCTATATTGCGCGCTATATTGCTCCTACCATAAAATTATATATGTAAAATTACGATGTGTTAAATTTTTCATGAAGAGTGCAGATCGCATAAAAGTTAAAATATCACTGCTATAAACGTTGCGTTAAGTTCTTGTTTAATTTCAAGCATTTTGATTCAAATGAATAAACTCTTTAATAATCAGATAATAAACATCTGAAATTAACCGCATACATCCGGATATCCGGGTATAATATCCGAAAGTAGTCGAAATTAATAGCATTACCTTGAAGTTCCTGTCTACGGTGATGTTGTACGGCAGATAGATCTCATGAGAATACTCGAACCCTTGCTCGGTACCCATCCATATCTCGAACGACGTTCTGGTGGTCACTACGAGATCCGGCAGGAAGTCGCTGTTCAAGTCCAGGAAGGCGTTGGAGTGCGGGTTCCTCACGGGCTCCAGTGGCTTCGGGCCGCGCATCGGGATGGCATGCGGAGTCGTTCTGTTCTGATTGAACACCCAGAACGTTCTGTTGCCGTGCTTGTCCACCCCGAAGAGATCGATTATCATGTCGCGATTGTAGTCCAACGCCAACGGCTGGTCGCGCATCTCTATCAGCGGATTCCACTCGTCGCTGCAGTTGAGGTGGCCGTTGCCGCCCCACAGTATGTGCACGAATGTAGTGCGGTACTTCACGTTGAAGGTGGTCACGAGGATGTCCATGAAGACGTCGCCGTCGAAGTCCCCGGGCACCACGCTGGTCACGTGGTTGGTCGAGTTGAACGAGCAATTGAGGTCTGGCCCGGGCCGCAGCAACGGCTCTTGATCAGCAGCGAGGAATATCTCCACGCTAGTGCCGTTCTTGCGCACCATAAACACGTCCGTCAACTCGTCCGAATTGAAGTCGCCGAAGGCGGCCGGCATGCCGTCCAACACGCTGCCGAAAACGGCAGGCGTTATGTCGCTACATCTCGCCACGGAGACGAGCACGAAGAGATGGACGAGTGCTCGTACCAGCCACATCATCGTTTATATACCACCAAGCATGATCTGCAAGCACATGCAGCTGTGCGTAATCCTGGCAATTTCATGGAACAGTTAAATTTTAACATATAAATTCTTTCTGTCAGCATCATCTGTGTGAGACTAGAAAAGAGATTTAAGACAGACAATAATTAAAGAGATTTAAGGCCTGATTGCACAAGCCAAGTGATAAGCTAACTGACAGCTAAAATATGTCTATTTTTAAGGAAAAACAAAGACAGACATATGATGTAACTCTTAGTTAACTTACTAGAAGATTGATTTCAGGAAGCACATATTGTTTAAAAAAGTTTCTACAATATTTTATAAACAATTATAAAATGTTACATACATTTAGAGAATATATGTGAAAGCATTATGTGCTGCCAGGGGTAAAACTAGGCCTAAGGTCTATATTAACAATCACTTGGAACTTGTCTTACATGAGATATTCAAATCTGAATTCAAATCTGAATTCTAAATTTGTAATTGTAGTTCATCCATCTCTGAACAAAAACACCCATCTCTGAATTCTAGTTTAAGTATCTCGCCTGAGGCAAGTTTTAAGTAACGGCTATTAATACGGGTCTAATACGTTTGGAAAAGTGGAAAAAAAAGTTGAAGACACAACTACAAAGTTGCTAAACAGTCAAGAAAAAATTGAAATGATCATTTTAATCTCCACGTGTATAGGAAATCGAATTAGTTTAGGAAACAATGTCTCGATCACACGGATTTGTAATCACAACGTGACAAATAAATGATGACGTTTGTCCGTACGAGTTCTTTTCCTGTAACCTAAAAATAGTACCGTGATATGTGAGAATGTGCGAGAAAGTAACGAGAGCACGACTTGTTTTATTATGTTATTTGTATTTCTTATTATTAAAAGACTTGATTTGTGAATTTCGACACACGCCACGGTAGGACTTGCTATTGCGTATTGTAAATACGGGAATATTTAAACATACATACGTTGTGCAACACTGACACACTATTACTGCATCTGACAGCTAATGCATTGTACAACGTGAGTCAAGCGAGATATCCATACATACAAGATGTGTATAATAAAGTCGTGATACGACTCAATAACAAGTCAGACGGACATTTATTTTTCGAGTAATTTAACTCAACGACGTGAGTTCGACGTTCTTTTATTCTTCATGATAAACGAAATTGAACGAGCAATAGCTGTGGTAAATATAACGTCACCAAGGCTGCTCAAAAAACATTTTAGCCTATATTCTGAATCCTCTTTTATCTATAAAAGTGCCTCTGAAGGTCGTTCTACGTTAAGCCCATTCTACAATTGCGTGAACGTGGATGTAAGTGGTTGTAAGTGATTATGACAACCAATCAGAGTAAAGCAATCAGTGAATAAAACATTCGGATTGGTTGACTCTTACGTTCACGACTACGCTTACGCAATTGTAGAATGGGCTTTAGTTGCAAATCGCAAAACGTAAGAAAATTTACCAATCACAGTCGATCGTTCTTCTTACGACCAAAGAAGAATTGATTATGATTGGTCAATTTTCTTGCGATCTTGAGACTTGCAACTAATGTAGAATCGGCCTAAGAGACTTAGGAGCCACCTGATCGGCTGAGAAGCTATATATTCAAGACACTTTTATCGATAAAAGAGGGTTCAAAATATGAGCCTTTAACTTTCTATTCGTTCTTTAACCATTGTCATTCAATCCGTTCGCCTTCTATTTAGCATTCGATGGATCTTGATTTATATTTAAGTCGCACGTAAAAAATAAGTTAATTAGATGTTCGAATATACATGCGAATAAGAGCTTTGAGCTACAAAATGCTTCTTGAACCATTTCATTGCCATTATTTTTTCTAAAGTTACAACCCATTGAATTTTACCTAAGTTACACACACAAGCTAAGTGTACAAAACAATGAACTTATAAAAGAAACATAACCTAGCAAAAATGGACGTTCAATTAAACTCCGCTGAAATCGTTGACAGCTTAACACAAAATTTTAAGTATGTGACGCTGATTTGTTTCGAACGCAATCGTTGTAAAGTTGTTGAGGATTGACTTTCGCTTATAAATTCTTGAAACAATGCAAGTATGCTCGCAAAACTTAGCTTCTTGTTATTGTTTATTTGCATAGCATGCGTCTTATTTATCGCATTCACGGAGAAAGATTTGCGACCGAAGGAGAATGTGATTTCCGCGCAAGCGACAGTTGGGACAAATGGCAGATCATTCAGTAGTATCAGACTAATAATTGAGCCTTTTTGCAACGCCACTTTGCTGGCATGGATCGTCACGTCGTACGCAGGTGATCCCTCAGTTAGAAGTGCCTTACGACGCGCGTACACAAACGAAGAATTACAAGCTTTGGGAATCAGAAGAGTATTTCTGCTCGGCACGTTGGATGACAATGCTGAGAGGAAGTCTCGTGTGTCCCAAAATGCACTGTTGGATGAATCACGACGATTCGACGATATACTGCAGGGAGACTTCCTGGACACTTACAAGAACTTGACTCACAAGCACCTGATGGGTCTTCGATGGGCAGTGAATAACTGCAAACATCTGCAGTACATCATGAAGATGGACGATGATATTGTCGTAAATATGTATGGCATATTGGACAAGTTGCACGATACAGTACACAAGGACTCTTTGATTGGTTATGCTTTAAAAAATATGATACCCGTTCGAGAGACAGCCAACAAATGGTATGTAAGTAGGGCGGAATATTCGGGTAGTATTTACCCAGATTTCGTCTCTGGTTGGATGTATATTGTACACTCAAAAGCAGCGAGACGTTTGACCAATTATGCCGAGTCTTCCAATAAATACTTCTGGATAGACGACGTATTTGTGACTGGTATCTTGAGGCAGGCTTTAAACATAAAGATTCAAGACATCGGGGAATTATATACGACGGATTATAGATACTTGGAATGTTGCATAAAAGGAAGAAAAAACTCGTTAAAGTGTGAATTTCTCGTTGGTCCTAATGGGGGTGATGTAGAATTGCAAGTGAAATTCCAGGAATTTGCCAAGTTTTGTCATACGAATTGTTCTGTCCGTACAAAGACCAATTTTGTAAGTAAAACCTGTGTGGTAGCTTACAAGGAACCAAGTCTTCAAGCAGGTGCTGTGCAAATAGATACTGTGAATATTTTATAAAATATGATAGGTCAGAGCAGGTAAATCAATAAGATTAATACATATACGATTTTATAAAGAATATTCTCTACTTATTCTATTTATTGTTATACGAAATTTGTACAATATTTTACAACATCTCACATATATGTATCTAACATATATGTGTAATGAAACAATTGTATATATATTATATACATATAATATATATTAATATAAAATATATATATATTATATACAATAATATATATAAAATTTTAAAGTAAAACACTGTTTAAAGTTTATTCTCTGTCCTTTCCATAACAATGAAATTAATAAGGCAATCGTTACATCATATTGCTTTCTGATTTAACTCTTAATAAAAATGATACTATTCATATGAGCATTTTTTGTTGTATTAGAAATTGCAGAAAAATAAACGATACTTGTACCAGTGTTTGCTCCATTTAAATTTTAAGAGTTAAAATAAATTAGTTGGTCTTGTTAAAAAAGAATTGAAATTGCAGAATAAAAAGAAATTTTAGCACTTTTTAATACTATGCAAATTTTTTAAACGTGCATTACACCAAATTTATGATTTCATAAGGAAAAAAAGAATAATAGAAATGTTAGCAATATCTCCTAAAGGAAACGAAAATTATGAATTAAAAATTATCAATAATAAATTAGCATTATAATTAAGTCAATAAACATAAGTCCTTTTTCCTTTCCTCAAACACGTAGATTTCACTGAAATATGGCATTGCTGGAGTACTATTCCGTTCTCACATACCGACACAGTTGTCGAATCGGTAGGCGTCGTTGCGCAGCTTTTTTTATACCGTGGAAAAACTGTGCAACGACACCTACTGGTTCGAGAACTATCGGAACCATGGTAACGGAATAGCAGCCTTGGATAATGATCCAAGGTATTACTATATGTAGTAACTATTATATTTTATATATATATATATATATATATATATATATATATAATATATAATAGCAAGAGATTATACTTTATAGCGGAGATTTCTTTCTCGATAATCGGAAAGTGGCACCTATGCTCAGATGATCACTGCCTACTACGAAATTTGGTATAGTTGGTAACGTGGTGCACTGGTTCACAGTAGGCAATATGTACTTCTCTACAGGTTGAATATTGCTATAAAATATATAATCAACTGTGATCCACTCATCCTGATGCGTCGTCGCCTCCATCTCACCTTTAGCATTCGCATGCGTGTATACGCTACGCATATCAAAAGGATGTGTTAGAATACCAGACGAGAATTTCACTAAATGATCCTCCGTTATCTTGATGACCTGCATACGGCTGGTATTGATGTTTACGCCGCTTGTACTACAAGATGTGTGCGTATTTTGTGTTCTCTGAGGAACCGATTCGCTGTTTTCCAGCTAGAAACAATTCGAGTAATCATTTAAAGAAATAATTCATATGGTTTAAAAAAGATGATTCGCTTTAGAAAACAGAAAGTCAGAATTGTAATTAATTATTGCGCATTAGTGTTTACCATGATTTATTAAACAAGTTTCCATCTTGGGAAAAGATAGAAAATTATCTAAGGAACTTTATGCATAATTACTAAACATTGTGCGTACCATGACTCTACCATTGCCTTCCTTTCTCAATCTCTGAGTTAAGACGTTAAAGTGCTGACAATTATCGGTAACGCATAATCGCGGTGGTATCAAGGAGTTCGGCAAGGAGTGGTATTCGCTCGGTTCTAAATTCCGTCCTTTGCCATAGTACTCAAACGAACCTTCCGTTAGGAACTTGTAAACAGCCGAGAATGGCGTCAAGTTGAAGTCGCCCGCTAGTATGATCGGTAAATATTTTGGGCCTTTTCTATAAAATTAAACAAATAAAAAAATATATATATATATAAAAGTAAAATGTCTTGTGCCATTGTGAAATATTATCGTAGCGTATTATAGAAATTAATTGTAATAAAAAATTCGAATCTCCTATTAATTATAAGTTGAAAATAACTGTGATTTCAAAATCTGATCATCAGCTACAATCAAAGTTTAGAATACGCAATTTCGTCACAAATATTTTACGCAAACTGTTCGCAAGGCTGTGCCCTGGTGAACAACTTTGCTGTAAGCCATAAGGACCATCTACAATTTTGCGTCAGGATATTGAAAAATAAAAGTCTCAATGTAAAATAATTTTCTGCATTGCTGTTTGGTTTACCTGAGGTTGTTTAAGAAATTATGTTTTTTCATTAATCAGATAAACCATGATATAAATACACTCATATCACTATTTATACATTATTTATCAAAGAAACAGAAATAACAAGCCTTATCTTTCCCAAATTGCTTCCACTTTCTTATAGTCTCATATCTTTGTATAGTCTCATATCTTTCTTATAGTCTAATATATTTGTCTATCAAAGTATGACTGTAAAAATAAAAAATTTACTAATCACAGTCGAGTGTGAGAAGAATAATCGACTATGATTCATTGACTATGTCAACTCTTATTTCTTACAGCCATATTTTGCATCCATTGTAGACAGTGCTTTAAGCCACAAGCAAGATTGTGGAGCAGGGCTGTGTATCTCTGCTAGTGCTTGCACAAAGATCGCTGGACGCGATTGCAAAGTTTGCTAATGCATACTCACTGTGTGTTTTCGATAAATGCGATCCGCTCTATTTCTGCTAACAAAAGCTGTGTCTGTGCCAGTCGTACATCATTGCGTCTTGGATTGTATAACAAGTGTGTAGTGGCGACAACAATTTGTGTTTCTGGACTATCTCTGAGAGACAATTTAGCGATTATTCCGACATTATCTCTGTTTAAGATATCAACACCGGATTGATATAACTCCACCTTTGCATAATCAAGCAAAGTGAACTGATCGCCGCGATATAACAAGAGTAAACCATCCTTTTTGTCGTTTGTTCTTCTTTTATATAAATATTCATATTCTAATTCTCGGAATGGTGCTACAAAATCTAGTAAATGATCCTCCAACACTTCCTGAAGGCATATTATCTGCAATGATAATATTAAACATGAGACTATGACAATAATTGACATGACAAAAATGTCCTGTTTCAAATTTTACATAATTTAGAAAATATAAATACATACATTTGCTTCTGCTTCAAATATCTCCTGTAATACAAGAGGTTTTCGAGTCACCCAGCTTAGAGCTGCTGGGTCATGGTCTTTATACAAATAAGAGTGAGTCTCTAACAGATTTTGTGCCAGGATATTGAAGGATAAAAGTCTCAATGTAAAATAATTTTCTGCATTGCTGTTTGGTTTACCTAAGGTTGTTTAAGAAATTGTTTTTTTATCATTAATCAGATAAACCATGACAAATATATTTACATATCACTACTTTATACACTACATCAGAGAAACAGAGATAACAGCCTTACCTTTCCCAAAGCGCTTCCACTTTCTTATAGTATTGTATCTTTGTCTATCAAATGCTTGATTTCCTGGCAAACAATTTGCAGATGTTCTACACACATTAGCTTTGACACCATAGGATGTTTCATATGTATCACTGGGACAATAAATTGCATTGTCTGAAGCTGTGTTGAATGGTATACTGCACATTGCAGAAGCATTATTTTGGTTGTAACAACTGTTAAGATAAGGATCCATTTTGGGTCTTTTGCACTCTTGAACAGACACAGGATTACCCATAGATGTAGAAATACCCTTGTACAGAGTTCTTAGGAGCGACCGACTTAATCTTAACATGTAAACAATCTGGAAAAAATACATATTATATATAATTATCTGCAAAAAGTGAGTTAGAGAAAGCATGAGACACATAAAGAAAAATGATCAAAGAATACAATATCCAGGAATTTGATTTGAGTTTCTTAGAATTTGATTGAGTTTTATCTGAACATCGTCAGTAAGCGATAATACACGTGTTATCGCGAAGTCTCATCGTCGGGGAAGCACTTTTCCTTTGTCTTTACCTTTCGACATTGGGAATTCACGCACAAAGCGACATCGTTTGCAAAGCGATTGGAAAAAAACGAATGGATATATTCTAAACTTTATAATTTAATTCTTCTCCTTTTTCCACGAGAATCAGGTTCGAACACTGTTATAAGCTATGAGACAATAGTGACGTCGTATAACACACAAATTCGCATGACGCGAAGTCATGTTCGCACTCGAAAGTTCAGCCTCGAAACAATCGCAAACACCAAAAAAGTGATTAGGTTAAAAAATATACCAGGATGAGCTCACCTGCCACGATTGTAGAAACGTTCTGTCCCGTGCTTTACATATTACATAGTCAACGTTGCGTATACTTTCACTTTTGAAGATATGTAGTAAATACGACAAAAACAGACACTTCATTTATTTGCGCGTTACAATTATATCACAACCGTTCCCGGTGCCGCATGTCCTCCTCCCGAAGGGAGAGAAATGCCTCTAGAGAACGCCCAGAAACCCATCCATGCTGTACCGATCAGCGGACCCGAACCCCACTCTGAAGATGATTACAACAAAATTCTCCACGAGAATTACGTATTTTCCGCGTATACAGATCTCAGTGCCATCTTTCGTGAAGAGGAATATGAAAAACATAAAGGTCTGTTCAAACAATTGTATAATCGCCACAATACCACTTTTCAGCAAATAACATTGTTACAGAAAACTATTTTATTGGTTACTTATTATCTAAGATTTCTTCTGAGATAACATGTAGCCAATAGAATAAATTTATGCGTATTGTTAGCCTAGAAAGTGGCCAATGACACACAGTGAAAATCAACCAATCGTGCGTCGTCGTTTCTATCTTACTTTTAGCTGCGTTTCAAAACTTCATTCGACGGATAAAGTAGGATTTAATTGATCAATCAGAATAAAGAAAACTAAAATTTGTTTATCTCAAGTGAATGTTACTCTACCTGTCGAGTAGAATCTTGGAATATAGCCTGTATGAGTCTATCTGGTTAATCATAGTTACATATAGAGTTCCGGTTTAACCGCCGTTACGTTAAACGTATTCGAACACGTTCGGACCTGATTTTTTTGGAATTAGTACCTCGGTACCTTTGGATGAAAAAGCAATAGAGATGAGTCAAAATAAAATAATAATAAGAAGTAGAAGGAAGAAGTTACATACAGAGGACATTTTCACGCGTTTTACTGTCGATAAAATTTTCAGTATACCTAAATATGTAATCCATATGTGCAGAAATAAGGAGCAAACACTCTTCTTCACTTGGACAGATGCTTTTGGAGCGATCGTTCGCTATGTAGTGGCACCGTGAAAGTACCTGTTTAGTGAGATGCCAAGTCTATATAGTGCGTCTCTGATCGTGGGAACTCCTCAGGGACGCCTCAAAGGTATCATCGAGAAGAGGATACCTCATATTAGGGTCTAGTCTTTTAACGATGACGTCATTGTCACTGCGTTGTTGTTGCGCGAGTATAATATATATGATAGAAAAATTGTGCAAACGATAGTAATGCTTTTGTCTAAAGTTTCAGAATAGACCCCTTACATTGGAAATATACAAAGCATTCATATACAGTATTCATCGTAGTGATCCATTATTTTTTTACCAGTTACAATGATCGGGTAATACGCACAAAAAGTTCTAGATGCAATCAATCAATTTTTAAATAATAAGATTAATTTTTAAGCAATAAGATGCAGTAATGAAAAAACGTTTTTTTCTTGTGGAGAGAAAAGGTAATTTCTACTTTTTTTAAAAAAACCATATCTTTGTTTTTATCACAAACAGACGTAATATAACTGGTACGCGCAAGAGTATCTTTTGCAAAGGTAAATCTTGGATTCACAAATTATAAAACTATTCTCGTAGTAAGTAGGCGAGTCGTTCAATTTTTAACATCTACGGCACTGTTATTCGCCGAACACCGGGCAAGGAGAAATCCTGACAATGTAAAACTTCATAAACAAGATATTTCTGTTCGCATATCACGTCGAACGTAAGTGAAACATAGTTCGCGATAGTTCAAGTTTATTCAGGATTGGAAATATTTATAACTAACAATGGCGTGCGTTTTAGATTTTTACTGACGATAGAAGCACTGGTAAAATTTCTTTCTCTTTTGCTCATTTTAGCGCGCGATCACTGATAATATAGCGAAGATGTATCGGCGATGAGCCTTACAAAGGACTTTTCGTTTACACATGTAAATATGCATTCATGAATACACGTATTGTCGATGCAACTACGTGTATTGTTGTGAACCAAGTCTATTCTATCACATCGTGCACGTGTATATACTTCAACAATCGAAGAACTTCATGATAATGCGCCTGTATAAATAATAGATTAATTCAGACAATTAGCAAAAGATAAGATAGTGTAGAATTAGGATATAAAAGAGCAAAATATCTAATGTGTAACTTTATATTCGTTTTACTCAAAAACAGCATCTTAAAGGCACACATATACATATATATGCATGATCGTAAGTCTCTACTTTTATGGGGGGTATGTGGAATAGTACATATATAGAATACATTATATCATAGACTATTTAACAATTTCTTGTACATATGTATAATTCGTTATTTCGCTCTGTCGGGCACATTATATTAAATATTCAAGAATGTCTGTAAATGCGTTATTTTAGAATCGGAAGAAATCTTAGAAAATATTGCACAGAGCAATAGATACAAAATTTGGATGTTATATACATCATTGTCATACTTTAACAGGTAGATAGTTAGTATTGGGAATATAATCTATTTGTACTAGGTTTATGATAATAACTGTAGTTTTTGTGCACCAAATTGAGATATGTATAGTTATAGTCCCACTTTTGTCAATTTTTGTGTCAAAATCTTCTGTTATTATAGAATCATGCTTTGATTACATTTATATGTAATACTGAGAGACTAATGTAGATTTTATACATATGTATATATCAATTTTTATTTTGAAAATATATATATATATATCCCTTGTATCACACACACACATACACACACACACACACACACACTTCTAGATAAAATCAAGAAATGAATATAATAGATAGCATAATAGATTAACCAAAAACCATTGAATACACACATTCCGGTAAAACAGTTACAAATCTTATAACAAACTATCACAAACGTACGGCGATATGTCCTCCCACTTGTAGAGATGTTCAGATATTTCAGATAAAAATATATTATACATTTGTACCTAAAAATACGCATTAAATACTGCTTTTCTCTCATTCCATAGAAGTGATTAAAAAATAGGTTGTTATGGCTACGATGTTAGGCAATTGTGCGGTAGTCGCCGGTAATGTATAAGTATCGAATGTCTGGATGTATCCAAAGTTTTTGTACAAAAACCTGCAAGTTTCGTCAATGATTGTTTTTTTCCCGGGATATTCTTTTTTCCCTTAAGTTTTAGAGTACAATACATCTCCTGTATTTCTATATTTTATCCCTTCAATTCAATTTGAAAAACAAGACCTACACCTAAGTAACAGCATATGACTAATTAATATAACATACTGAGGATTTCGTTTTTATCGTAGTATTTTACTTTCTTTTTGAGTAATTTTTCTATATTCGTCATAGTCCATTTTGAAGAACATTGAACGCAGCTCCCAAAGCCCAACTTAATTCGTGACCATTAATCTTCTTATAAAGCTATAATAGACATATTTCATTATCTCTCAAGAAAAATGAACTTTAATAAATAAGTTCTCTCTACTCACGTATAACTTTGTTGACGGCTCCAAGCCGAATCCGTTCCTCAGCAGTACATAAATAAATGTCAGATCTAAGCACATGAACGGTTGATCCGTGTTTGGGTAGTCACATGTCTCCATGGCCTGCTTCAAGAAAGAACTGAGGTGCACGACCCCACCCAAAAATGGATCTATTAACGCTACCTGAAAAAACAATAGCGCGATTATTATATTTTTTACGCTTAAATTCTGCTTGCATACACGCGATTGTTGTTCCTATAGGATGTGATAAGATGATTCGACAAGATGATGAAGGTATTTTTGCAATATATAATTTTTTTACTTCCTGTATAAGCAGGGCGTCATCTAATATTCTTGCAGTTAAGTTAAAAGTACCAATACCTGAACACGTTTCTAACTCTGAACATTCTTATTATTCTGCTCTTTGAATATGGATATTTAAGCTTTCAACATAGAGAATATATCTACATATATTGAATATATACATATATTCTACTAATATATACATATTATGCTTGCACACGCAATCGCGCACGGGAGGAATGAATATAACACATAATTATAAAGAACGAGAAGCTTTAATGTACAGCGAAGCACATCAGACTCAAAATTAATACCGTCGAAAACACGACAGCTCGCGACTACGTCTCGCTGTCAACTCTCTCTGACAGCCGCTGTTATTCTCGTTGCTAACCAAAGCTCGTTCCTCTGTCTTTTCAATACCGGGATCATGAAAAAGATCGAACCATCTCTGGTAGCGCGGACGCAACAATATATTCTACTAATATTATACTTATATCTTAAAAGCTGAAGTATTCATATTTAAAGACCAAAACAATGTCCAGGGCTAGATGTGTTCAAGCATTGGGACTTTTGCCTTAAATCAACATTGCAAAATTGTAAAAAAAGTACAAAAAAATTACAAGTGAACTCGCCTTTCTTTCACAGTTTATTACATAATCACGATTTTTACAAGTATACTCAAGCAATCTGAGATGTTTTTTCAAGCATCATTTTATTTGAAAATGGCATACGTTTTCTCTCTTCTAATATCATAAATTCGAAAGAGTTTCAAAACAGGACAACCTTAAATCCTCTTTACCTCAGTCGCGCGGTCAAAGTAGTACGAAAACGCATACACCTCGTGATCCTTCAAGCCCACCGGCTTGTTCGCCAAGGTGCCGACGTACTTCTCGATGATCTTCAGGCATTCCGCGAAGCGCACGATCGGCTTGTTCTCGTCGCCGCCGGCGAAGTTCTGAGTCTTCACGAGCTTATACGTGCCGTTCACGGGACCTTTCACGACGTAGTCACGTCCGCCGTAGGACCATTCGGTGGACACGATCGGATTCACGCACTCGGAATGTATCTCTATCGGCAGCTTGGGATCCGCGACGAGATCCTCCGTGTTCATGTCATGAGTTAGTATCGCCTTGCGGGCGGCCATCAGCCCCATGCCTAAATAGCTGTGCGTGTACAGACTCATATTGTGGCTGAACACATTGATGGAGTAGACGTGCTTCTCCAGCTTCTTGGCTTGAACACTGTCCGGCTGGAACGTAACCTGGGTGGACCCTCCGCCGAGGTCCAGCGCGGCCACGGTCGCCTGAGAGCCGAGTGAGGTAAAACGGTCTAACAAGAAATTGACGGTGAACCACGAGAAGATCCCCTCGTCCGTGCCCTCCATAATAGAGATGGAGCTCTTCGCCACCTGAAATCCAGACGTCTGGAAGAGCTTCCTACACTCTTCCAGTATGGCATTGGCCTTGTGCTCAGGCAACAGTCTTAGGCCTGCTGTGGCCTTCATAGTGAGCATTGTGCGAGGCCATTCTGATTGCGGGATCACCGTCTTTGCTTTGTTCAACAGTGTGATGAGAGACTTGGTGGCGTCAGCCGGCCTGTCCGCGAACGAGCTCAGGCCGGGCTTCACCTCGCTGTACAACTCACCGTCCAGCACCAAATTGCCATTGAGAATGGACTCGTGGAAGCTGAAGGCCAACACGCGGCTGCCGGTGGAGCCGGCGTCAATCACCACGACGTAGAAGGGCTTTTGTAAGTTAAACGAAAACGCTAACGAGTCGATGGCTTTGCTACCTATCCTGATCGGTTTTAAGTCATTCGCTATCGCGATGTAGCCTAGGAACAAGGTACCAAGTATCATCAGCACGGTGAAGTACATCTTGCCCGGCTGGCCGGCTGTACTTTTCTTCTGGCGGGATGCCAATTCGTTATCGCGCTCCTCTTCATTTTCAGTTCTCAGCTGAAAGTACAACGTTACACGACACGCGTGAGATATCGGTTAAGCTTTAGCAGTGAAAGCTTAATAAGCGCTTCGCGGACTGTGCTTGAATTTTCTGTCGAACGACACGGGCGGTTTGCGCCCTTTTCACATGTTTACTTTGCTACCTTTTTCCAGCGTATAAATAAAAGTATGTTGAAAGAAACGACAGCTTAGCGAACATGTTGGGAAAACGTGAGAGAACCGGCAGTGTCGTTCGGCCTTACAACGGCCGTGTTCTTGCTGCGTATTCGAACGTTAAAAAATACGCCCTTCCGCATTTTCGAGACAAAATAACTAAATGTATAACACGAAGCTTTGAGTAAAAAGAGCGTACTTTGCATTCGAATACGCGTCGAGAATACGGTTGTTGCCTTTCCCACTAACGTAAACATTTCGCTTGTAGGATTTGTTCAGGCAATTCAGAAAAGAGAAGGGAACTCAACAGAGAATATCGTGCAAACAATCGAACTGTAGCTAAATTGTCACAAACATGAACGCGATATACTTCTTTCGAAATCGTTGAGACGATCTGCGCCGAAACGTTGAACAAAAGTCAACAGTTTCCACGCGACGTTAACCTCTCGCGGGCGACATATCGCGGCAAACGAGGGGCGGAAAGTGCGAACGACCCGAGGCTCTCTCTCGATCGTCCGTTGCACTCACGAGCGTGTATTGCATCTAGGACGAGCCGTGCGATCCGCGTGGGCGAGGCTGGTCATGTGAAAAATGCAATTCTCCTCATTACGTGGCCGCGACGACGAGGAAGGGCCTGACGAGGCATCGCGAACATTGCATCGCGAACATTGCATCGCGTGTGTTGAAACACCGTCACGTGATAGCAAAAAGGATCGAAGTTACAACGAGTGTATCCAGTGCTACACCGCTCACCGAATGCCCAATGACTCTTGGATCTGATTGGTGTATACTTTGGCTGCGTTCATTTTGGACGCTTACGCGCTATAAGAGTCATTCTATCTTTATCGTTCATTACATACGGGAAGAAGATAGAATGACGCTTACAGCGCATAAGCACCCAAAGCGAACACAGCCTTTATCGCTCATATGCGGGAAGAAGTAGTCTGTTCTTTTCAGCTGCACTGCTGAACTGGCGCAATAAGTTAGGAGTATGAAGTTGGCACACCATTTTTTGAAATTTATAATTTTGAAAGTTGTTCCAGATTGTTTTGACTTTGTACCACATTGTTCCAAAGTGATATTGCTTCATTCGAAACGGTTTTCGAATAAAACAAAAAAAATGATTTTTTGAGCTGGCACCCCACTTTTCGAAAATCGAACATTCTGATACCGCAATAGATTGTTCTAGTTGTTCCAAACATTGTTCCAAAAGGACAAATCCGTAAGTTGAAT